TCTGGTAATTAAAATCTTATATATGTGTCTGTCTCTGTGTCTGTACTCAGGTCTAAATTCAAAGGTCTGTGTCTGTCTGTGTCTGTATGATGATGGAGGTAGCACAGTCAGTGGGTATCAATGTCTGTGTCTGTCTGTGTCTGTCTGTGTCGTATGATGATGGAGGTAGCAATAGCCGCGGGTATCATCGTCTGTGTCTGTCTGTGTCCGTCTGTGTCTGTATATGATGATGGAGGTAACACAGCCATCATCGTCTGTGTCTGTCTGTGTCCGTCTGTGTCTGTTCAGTCTGTATGATGATGGAGGTAGCACAGTCAGCGGTATCACGTCTGTCTGTCTGGTGTCCGTCTGTGGCCTGTATGATGATGGAGTGCACAGCCGGGCGGTATCATCGTCTGTGTCTGTCTGTGTCTGTCTGTGTCTGTCTGCCCGTATGATGATGGAGGTAGCATTGTGCCGCGGGTGCATCACGTCTGTGTCTGTCTGTGTCCGTCTGTGTCTGTATGATGATGGAGGCAACACAGTCAGCGGGTATCATCGTCTGTGTTCGTTCAGGTCCGTCTGTGTCTGTCTGTGTCTGTATGATGACGGAGGCAGTACAGCCGCGGGTATCATCGTTCGTGTCTGTCTGTCTGTGTATGATGATGGAGGTAGCACAGTCAGCGGGGTATCAAGCCTGTGGATGACGTCATGATGAAAGGTTTTGTAAGAAGAGGAAGTATTTGATTCTTTGTGTCGTCTAGGCTGGAGTTGTGTGACGTCTGCTGTGGTGGCCTACACACACACACACATTAACAGACACACATTAACAGACACACACACACACATTAACAGACACACACACACACATTAACAGACACACACACACACATTAACAGACACACATTAGCAGACGCACACACACACTTGACCGTCTGCCTCTACTGTGGTACGCATATAATGGACTGAGGCTGACTCTATGTCATGTGGAATGAACTTCTTAAAGAGCCACATTCACGCTCAGGCCTGTGTTTCCGGCCGCCTGTTCAGGCCAGCCTCACATAAAAAGTGTCCCTCACACACGATTCACTCTAGCCTCAAGGCCAAGTCTCACAGGGACGATGACAGCCCCACTCACCACCGTGAACTAGCAGTTGGAGTTGCTACAGCTGCTTATATGTTAAGCACAGAAATCATACAACTGGCTACATTAAGGGGCGAGTTATCCCGTATATTATTACTAGTGGATCTAAGATTTGAGAAAGGACACTGGTTCAATTACCTGATGATTAAGGAAGAAACAAACCTGAAGCTACTGTCTTAAGTGTCTCCAATTATAACAAAATAAGGTACAGTGCCTGTATGAGGAAGGTTGCATCACACGAGAGGTTGTCAGCCAACAGGTCGCTCTGCCAAGACTTGTAGGTCTCCGTGGAAGATGTCACTTTCTTACTTTCTTTGTAAATTGAGCTTCTAAGATTGTTTATCTTCTTTGCCATAATTTTTCTGTTTGCAGAAGTGTCTTTTTTCTTCAATTCGTCAGTTAACAATTCATAGGCTGTTCCCTTTTTCACTGTCTCAATAATCATTATTCGTTATTTTCCATAGCCATGGATTCTCCCAATAAATATTGATGAATTGTCAAAAACTTCATCTCATATTCGACGGGATTCATGACGACAGACGTCCGATCACCACAGCTGCTGCTCTAAAACTGAGCATTTGCCTGAACTGTTGCTTCCACATGCACAAACTGGCCGGAACAGAGCCTCTCACTGGCCGGAGTAAAAAAAATAAAAAATCAGTGACAGGTCCGGTGGCGACCCGAGAGGTCCCCTGAACGACCCAAAATCTTGGCCTGATCCATCCTCACACACATGGAGTTTTGCCTCAACTGGCCGGGCTGTGCAGATCGGCCCTTAGACGTCACCATCACTACTTTAACTCGATATTTTTCTAATTTACTTTTGTTCATGAAATAGTATACAAATTCGTTACTGCAATCACCTCTGTAATACAATAAATAAACAAATAACCGAATACATTAAAAAAACGGAAACTACTCAATGTGCATCGTACTTCGCCCACAGGTGCCAGTTGGTTGTTTACGGTAAATTTTCCCTAATTGGCAGTTAGCTAGATTAGTGTAATTATCAACCAATCAGGATAAAGCGAAGGATTATCTTTTTTACTTGATTGGTGTGTTTGTGTGTGTCTCTGTCGTTTAGTTTGCCTGATCTTGTTTGTCTTTGTTTGTGTCTCTGTGTGTCTGTGTTTGTATATCTGTGTTTGTGGGTGTGTGTGTGTTTGTACGCGTGTGTTTGTGTATCTGTATTTGTGTGTCAATGTTTGTGTGTCTGTCTTTGTATACAGGTGTTTGTGTGTCTGTGTTTGTGTGTCTGTGTTTGTTTGTTGGTGTTTGTGTGTCAATGATTGTGTGTTTGTGTTTGTGTGTGTCTGTGTTTATGTGTCAATATTTGTGTCAATGTTTGTGTCAGTGTTTGTATGCCCGTGTTTGTGTGTCTGTGTTTGTGTCAGTGTTTGTATGCCCGTGTTTGTGTGTCTGTGTTTGTGTCAGTGTTTGTATGCCCGTGTTTGTGTGTCTGTGTTTGTGTCAGTGTTTGTATGCCCGTGTTTGTGTGTGTGTGTTGTGTCAGTGTTTGTATGCCCAAATTTGTGTGTCTCTGTGTGTCTGTGTTTGTATATCTGTGTTTGTGGGTGTGTTTGTACGCGTGTGTTTGTGTATCTGTATTTGTGTGTCAATGTTTGTGTGTCTGTCTTTGTATACAGGTGTTTGTGTGTCTGTGTTTGTGTGTGTGTGTTTGTTTGTTGGTGTTTGTGTGTCAATGATTGTGTGTTTGTTTTTGTGTGTGTCTGTGTTTGTGTGTCAATATTTGTGTCAATGTTTGTGTCAGTGTTTGTATGCCCGTGTTTGTGTGTTTGTGTTTGTGTCAGTGTTTGTATGCCCGTGTTTGTGTGTTTGTGTGTTTGTGTTCGTTTCAGTGTTTGTATGCCCGTGTTTGTATGTCTGTGTTTGTGTCAGTGTCTGTATGCCCGTGTTTGTGTGTCTGTGTTTGTGTCAGTGTTTGTATGCCCGTGTTTGTGTGTCTGTGTTTGTGTCAGTGTTTGTATGCCCATGTTTGTGTGTCAATGTTTGTGTCAGTGTTTGTATGCCCCTGTTTGTGTGTCTGTGTTTGCATTATATATGAAGGTTTTTGAGTGCCTGATGACATGGCTTTATTGCCTTAAAGAGCCTAATACTGCTCGTACATCCCTCCAGGTTTGTCCAGTTCACCTCCCTACCACACATCTGAAATCTATCACAAAAAAAAAATGAAATGGAATTGAAGCCTTGTTGAAGGTAGTTAGTTCGGGGTAATTTTCTTAATTATCGGTCACGGGCAGTTAGTGGGATGATAGTAATTATTGGCCAATAGAGAAACGAGGAAACTTTTCGTCCATTTTTTTTTTTATTTATTATTCGTTTTGTTTTTATTGATCTTTATTACGATGACTTTTTTTTATCCATTTGCTATGAGTTGCTGTTGCTGTTGTTGTTGTTGGTATTATTTATATTATTATTATTATTCTCACCGTCATCCATCTTAGAAAAACGTAAACAGATCCGGAATGGCTCCCGGATTACGATAAAAGAACGATACATCAGCTAAATGTATCTCCTCGTCAGGGAACTTTATAGCTGTGTTTTGCCTTTAACTGCCACCTAACTTACTATTATGGCTGATAATTCGTCTCTCTTTAGCAGCGGGAAATAAATGTACGAGAATCCAGAGCCAATTTTATGGATTATTATTATTATTATTATTTTTATATTTTTTGTTTTTTTGTTTTAGTGCAAGGAAAGGCGAGGTTGGCTCGTGTTTGTGTTCATTAACCAAACATCATTTTAAACACACCCAATACATCATACTCTAGGCTAATTAAACACACGATATCAATTAGATTATGTTTATTATATAACTTTGTCGTATTTCAATAAAAAATATGTCTACACAAATATTGATAAATACAGATCTACAGGTAATATATACACGATATAATTATTAATAGAGCAGGTAGGTAGTAATAGCACTGAATAGGGAGATGGTTATAATAGCTAGTAGCTTCGTCTTCAGGGTATACAAGGGGGTGAGAGAGAGAGTTGGAAGAACCAGAAACAGCGAGACACACACACACACACATATATATATATAGCCGAGTTTATATATACTGTTATATCTATATGACACTATACTGTACAGCCGATCAGTTATAGGTGTTCTTTCGTTGTATAATGACCTTGTGTGCCGATATACATGACCTTAGCTGCCGATATACATGACCTTGGCTGCCGATATACATGACCTTGGCTGCCGATATATATGACCTTGGCTGCCGATATACATGACCTTGGCTGCCGATATACATGACCTTGGCTGCCGATTTACATGACTTTGGCTGCCGATATACGGGTACATGACCTTGGAAGGAAGGAAGGAAGGAAGGAAGGAAGGTGAGAGGGTGGGAGGGAGGGAGGTAAGGAGGGGAAAGGAAGGAAGGAGAGTGTGTTGGTTTCATTAACACACCAGAACGTTACTAAGAATTTAACAAGTTACTAACAATTTATTAACAAGTCAATTGAGTTAAAAGCTACATCATTGCGGCTCATTTTCTCTCAGTCGGTAAATCACATCATTCAGTCAAGTCATGATGGGTATACATACAGCTGACTAACGCTACTAGAATATATATAAAAAATAAGAGAGGAAAGGTAATGAAAAAAATGTTTTGAAAACTTTAATAAAAATGGCAAAGAAAATTAGATTGAAAACATTAAAGGAAAATTTTAGTACAGAACACAGTCTAGAAATCCTTTACACACACACACACACACACACACACACACACACAGCCACCAATAGACACCGGCGGCAGCACTGGCAAGAAGAACGCATATTGTTGAGGAAAGAATTATTATTGACCTTGATGGCTCTCAGAGACATTAAGAAGGGTGAGAGAGAGAGATAGAGAGAGAGAGAACTAAAACAAGGAATATAGTTAAGTACCTACGAAAAGGAGTAAATAAATCTACTATACACTAATAATGGTATAAAAACATTACTGAATACTTAATACTGATAGAAAACATCAAATGCAAGATCTAGACAGACAAACACCAGTCTTCGGCAGATATAAAAATACCACAGTCATATATCTTGTTTACAAATATAGCATATAAAAATATCTAAATATATTACATTAATATTTCATAAGAAATGTGACTAAGAGCATAAATATATCACTGTGTTTATATCATAAAAGAGCGCCTACGTAAGGAAAACAGTGGCGTATGTTCGTCTCGGGTGGAAAAGAATGAGTGTTGGTTGCTTGTACTGGTGATGTCTCTCGTGGTCTGGGTTTAAGGTGTGAAGGGGTCAACAACAGTGGAGTATGGAGGAGGGTCGTCACTCTGTGTGTAGGCTCTGGGAGATGGTGACACCCTCCTGCCCACAGGTGAGCTGTTAGTCGTTGATACCTGTCCATTAAAGGGTACTTGCGCCTCGGCTGGTCCTTGATACCCAATGAGGTGGTCTCCGGCAGATGGTCGGTATCCTATTTGTCCTCCGGGAAGAGTCGAGTACCCAAAGGCTTGTCCTCCAGGTGAAGAGAGATATCCGTAAGGTCGTCCTCCACGCGGGGTGTGGTAACCAAGAGGTTTGTCTCCTGGTAGCGCTGAGTAACCATCTCGTTGTTGTCTCCCGTGAGGCAAGAGATACCCAGCAGGTTGTCCTCTAGGTGATTCGGGGATACCAAGAGTCTGTCCTCCGCGTGGTGAAGAATAAGCAATAGGTCGTCCTCCAGGCAGGGTCGAGTAACCAAGAGTCGGTCCGTCTGGTGAAGGATGCACAACAGACCGCCCCCTGGGTGTTGTGGCATAACCAACAGTATGACCCTTTAAAGTAGGATAACCAACGGTCTCTCCCTTAGATGACACAGGATGACCAACACTCTGCCCTCTAGGTGTCGTAGCATACCCGAGGGTTTGTCCTGAAGGAGCTGAGAGGGCGTAGGTAGGAGTCTGTCTCATGGGGAGGAGCTGGTACGTGCTGGAGGAACGAGAAGGCACAGCGACGGGGCGGTAACACTTGGCACGGTCAGGATGGTCGACGGGGAGGGCGTTGAAGGTTCGCCTGGCGGAGCAACACAACGTCAGGAACACCGCTATCAACACAACTGTCCAGAAGAGAAAAGAAAAATGAACTTAAATCCCTCAAAAAGACGAAACATAACTCATTAATAGCTCCTCACTACGCAGACTCACTCACTATACCTGGAGCTGAAGCATGACTATTATCTCCTCTCTGGCATAAAAAATACTTACCTATGTATACAACAGATGATACTGACCCATGTATACAACAGGTGCCATTCACCTACGTATACCACAGATGCTACAGACCATTACAACAGGTGTTACAATACCGTCAACACAACGTCTCAAAGATCATCTTAGGGTCAGTTAATAATTCCCGTCGACTGAGAACACACTTCGTTCTAGCTACGTAAATTACCTATATAAATAGTATTGGTGAAGTCTTTGTCATGAGGAAACAGGTATGATAAACAGAAGTAAACACGCAGACAGGGTCACGTATCGATCAGTCCCTGCTTATTTCACCTTATAATTAACCACCCTAACCTAACCTCACCTCACCTAACCCGGTAAGTGACATGAGTTAATTAATGAGCTGGTGAAATAATCCTGGAACAAGTAATCTTCGGGTGATGAAGAAAATGTTCATCAACATAAAAAATGGATCACGTGAAGATTAACCACCCTAATGTTAACCGAGTCAAATGGCGTTAGGGTGGTTAATGTTGAGGTGAAATATACTAGGGTGGAGATTCTTCAGGTGATCGCAAAATATTAATCATCACCTTTAGTGTTATTCCATACCAGCAGTCACTTAATACTCATTACAGGTGTGAGCCGAGAACACCTGAGTAGTAATAACAATTTCTAAATTACTATATATGTTTACTGAGTGATTTAGTTTGTCTTATATAAGAAGATCATCGAACTTATTACAGTAAATTAGTTAAGGAATATGTAAGATTATGATAGAAAGTAGATTTATATAAAAGACTAAAGTTGTATTTATGAAATAATTGAACTAAAATCCGTTACTTCAGCACCTTTAAAGTGTATAAAGTGACCAGTACTCACCTCCCAGGAGCATCAACACTGTACCAACAGCCCAGAACCCCGTCACCATCTGCAGGTCAGCAGTGAACAGCACCACACCGATCATGACGGAGGCGACGCCGAAGGTGATGAGCAGGAAGATGCAGGTCCTGCCCACACTGCGTCCACACACCTGGCCAGGTAGGTGTTACGTTATGTCTCACCAGACACACAGTGTTTACATGTACAGCTTACACGACACAGACTGTGTACATGTACAACTTACACTACACACAGTGTGTACACGTACAGCTTACACGAGACACAGTGTGTACATGTACAGCTTACACGAGATACAGTGTGTACATGTACAGCTTACACGAGACACAGTGTGTACATGTACAGCTTACACGACACAGACTGTGTACATGTACAACTTACACTACACACAGTGTGTACACGTACAGTTTACACGAGACACAGTGTGTACATGTACAACTTACACGACACAGTGTGTGTACATGCTCGGCTTACACGAGACACAGTGTGTTCATGTACACTTTACACGACACAAGTGAGGGAACGACTCAACAGTCAAGCAACAGCGAAACAAGATTTAAACCTTAGAATTTTATTTAATGAAATATTCTCAATGAGTTATTTACAGACAATGAAGCTTCACACATCACTGGTGAGGTAACTAGACTATCTCAATCCTTCACCAAAAGTCACAAGTTTACGTTTTTACTGAATTTAAATAACGTTCATAAACAATGATTCACTAAGTGTAAACATCTTGGAAGAAGCAGTTCATCAGGCGGATCACTTAGGTGACAAATACATAAAACCCGAATTATAGCCACCAGGTGTGTCACTTACCTGTGTGCCCTCAGGTGTGTGACTCACCTGTGTGCCCCAGGTGTGTCACTTACCTGTGTGCCACCCAGGTGTATGACTCACCTGTATGTCCCCAGGTGTGTAACTCACCTGTGTGCCCCCAGGTGGGTCACTTACCTGTGTGCCACCCAGGTATGTCACTTACCTATGTGCCCCAAGGTGTGTCACTTACCTGTGTGCCCTCAGGTGTGTGACTCACCTGTGTGCCCCAGGTGTGTGACTTACCTGTGTGCCCCAAGGTGTGTCACTTACCTGTGTGCCCCCAGGTGTATGACTCACCTGTGTGCCCCCAGGTGTGTCACTTACCTGTGTGCCCCCAGGTGTGTGACTCACCTGTGTGCCCCCAGGTGTGTCACTTACCTGTGTGCCCTCAGGTGTGTGATTCACCTGTGTTCCCTCAGGTGTGTGACTCACCTGTGTGCCCCAGGTGTGTGATTCACCTGTGTGCCCTCAGGTGTGTGACTTACCTGTGTGCTCCCAGGTATGTGACTCACCTGTGTGCCCCCAGGTGTGTGACTCACCTGTGTTCCCCCAAGTGTGTGACTCACCTGTGTGCCCCCAGGTGTGTGACTCACCTGTGTGCCCCCAGGTATGTGACTCACCTGTGTGCCCCCAGGTGTGTGACTCACCTGTGTTCCCCCAAGTGTGTGACTCACCTGTGTGCCCCCAGGTGTGTCACTTACCTGTGTGCCCCCAGGTGTGTGACTCACCTGTGTGCCCCCAGGTGTGTGATTCACCTGTGTGCCCCCAGGTGTGTGACTCGCCTGTGTGCCCCCAGGTGTGTGACTCACCTGTGTGCCCCCAGGTGTGTGATTCACCTGTGTGCCCCCAGGTGTTTGACTCACCTGTGCGCCTCGTCTCAGGTAAGGAGGACCCACTAGCGGCACCGCCCTCACCGTCGTCGCCTCCCCCAGCACCACTGTCGGCCTCGCCCGCTCCCCTGACCCTGTAACACAACACTTGTTATGTGGAGCAGTGTAACACAACACTTGTTATGTGGAGCAGTGTAACACAACACTTGTTATGTGAAGCAGTGTAACACAACACTTGTTATGTGAAGCAGTGTAACACAACACTTGTTATGTGAAGCAGTGTAACACAACACTTGTTATGTGGAGCAGTGTAACACCTTGTTGTGTGGAATAGTGGAACAGGTTCTTGACGCACTTACAGTACAGTATACAATTAACGTAACGCTTCATTAGGTTTTTTTTTCTGTCGTATAATAATAATATTTTTATTATTATTATTATTATTATAATTACTATTATTTATAAAAATTATAATAATAATAATAACACTTTTACTATAGTGCACACACACACACACACACACACACACAGCTTCTACACCATCCTCGACACCGGCTCCTACTACCACCTGAGATCCCTAGCCCGAGAATTGCTGTTCGACACCACAACCGCATCCAGCCCATACGTGCACGAACTGATCGCTATAAGAACAGCCCAGTCCCAACCATTGTAAAAATTATCAATAACTTGTAATAAACCAGTGTATTCACTCCCAGTAAATACTACTTCTTGCACTGTCACTATGTTGAAATGCACTGTAGTTTGAGCTTTTCCCCATCTAGTTATTATATATCTTATTTGTATCACTTATGTTACTTGTATATTATTTGTAATTCGAAACCCATTCCCCAAATATGTAACTGTATATTTTCAGCCTTCTGGCTGCCAAGCTCTTTCAATAAACCGTTAATTATTATTATTATTATTATTACACACACACACAGACGTACTCTCTGCCAAAAAGGTAATGCAAGTTTACCGAGTATAGTGTTAGCATAGGGATGTCAACACAACATTCTAGCTACAGTCTGCCAACACAACATGCCATTGCCATAGGTCTGCCAACACAACACTCTACAGGTCTGTCAACACAACATTCCATAGGTCTGCCAACACAACATTCCACAGATCTGCCAACACAACATTCTACAGTCTGCCAACACAACATTCTTCAGTCTGCCAACACAACATTCTACAGTCTGCCAACACAACATTCTTCAGTCTGCCAACACAACATTCTACAGTATGCCAACACAACATTCTACAAGTCTGCCAACACAACATTCTGCCAACACAACACAACATTCTACAGTCTGCCAACACAGCATTCTACAGTCTGCCAACACAACATTCTTCAGTCTGCCAACACAACATTCTACAGTCTGCCAACACAACATTCTACAGTCTGCCAACACAACATTCTACATTCTACAGTCTGTCAACACAACATTCTTCAGGTTGCCAACACAAAATTTAGAATCTGCCAACACAACATTCTACAGTCTGCAGGACACAACACAACATTCTACAGTCTGCCAACACAACACAACATTCTAAAAGTCTGCCAACACAACACAACATTCTACAGTCTGCCAACACAACACAACATTCTACAGTCTGCCAACACAACATTCTACAGTCTGCCAACACAACATTCTACAGTCGGCCAACACAACATTCTACAAGTCTGCCAACACAACACAACATTCTACAGTCTGCCAACACAACATTCTACAGTCTGCCAACACAACATTCTACAAGTCTGCCAACACAACACAACATTCTACAGTCTGCCAACACAACACAACATTCTACAGTCTGCCAACACAACATTCTACAAGTCTGCCAACAATATATTTTTTCTCTTATTTCTTAATTTATATTTCCACCAAACATCAGTTTATTGAATGACCTGTTCTTTGTTGCTGAGTCACGATCATCTCTACCCAGTGTGGTGCAAGAGAAAAACTGCCATGTTTGGTAATGGTCAAATACGATAACACCCTTCTCTCATCTGACGCTGGCTAGTTTAAGTTAGGTTAGATTAGATTTAATCAATCAATCAGAGTCCCGTCCTGGTATCTGAGGGTTGGCGACCACAGTCCTCCACTCTAAACCTTATCGGTCTGTTTTCATCAATCCTCTAATGTTTTGTATCTCTCTGAGGACCCAGTTTTTAATTTCATTCGTCCATCTCAGTCTCTACCTTCCCCTGGCCCCCCTACCCTCAACTTTGCCCATTAATATTCAGTTATTATTCTCTCATCCCTCATTATATAACTGAAGTATCTCTTTTATCTCTTTCTGTACATTTCAAGTATTTCTCTTGAAGTTTTTGCTAATCTTTGTACTTATTTATTTGTTTTCCTGTCAGTGTAGCTTATTCTTAGCATTTGCTTGTAACACCACATTTTAAAGGCCTCCAACCTGTCTGCCGAAAGTGTCCACGCATCTGACCCATACAATAGTCCTTGCCATATAAAGCCTTTCAGTAACCTTTTTTTTTCAAATTGAAGTTAATATCTCATTTCATTAGGTCTTTTAAATTACTAAATGCTGTTTTTGCTTGCCCTATTCTTCATTTTATTTCTTCCGTACATCTACCATCACAGCTAATGTTACTTCCCAATTAGTACGCAAAATTTCCGCTTGTTTAAGTTCCCTGTTGCGTCCCAAAATTTTTATTTTATAGTTTATTTCCAATTTGTAAACAACCATTACTTTCACCTTTACAGCATTAACTCTTATACCACATTTTTCACTTTTTTTAAACCACAGTACTGCAATCTGTTATCTGTGATAAGAGTAATATCATCTGCAAAGCATATACAGTATAGTATTTAATATTACTTTACTATTAAATTTTAGTCCTTCATTATTACTTATAATTTCTCTCATTGAGAATCCTTGTCTTACTCCCTGTCTAACTGAGAGCCAATTACTAAGTTCATTATTTACTAACACTGCAGCTTCCTGTTGCCAGTAAAAAAATCTTTAAAATTCTAATATCTCCTTCATTAATGCCCATTTTTTACAACATCTCTATAAATTTATTGCGCTTTACCTTACCAAAGGCTTTACAAAATTAACACAGCAGATATACAAATTTCTTTTGGTCTCTAAAGCCCTTTCTCTAAAAATTCTCGAACCAAATAGAGCTTCTCTAGTTCATTTTCCCTTTCTAAATCAGTTTTATTCCTCAGATAACTCACTTTCTATTCTAAACTTTATTCTACTTAAAATCATTTTTAATAAAGCTTTACAGGCACTCTAAGGCTCCTGACTTTTATGTAATAATACAATTATTGATTTTCTTAATCACAGGGAAGATCTCCTTTGAAGTATATAGAAATACATATTTAATCAAACATTTTATCCCATTCTTGTTCATTTGTTTTATAAATGCTGCTGGAAGCTGATCAACCCGACAAGCTTTATTATTTTTAATTTTCTCACAGTTGCTTCAACTTGTGTTTCCAGAATTGACATTTCGATCTTTATTTTCCCTTTCGATTCTTCCCTCTACTCTGTCCTCACCATTGTATTTCTTCTATGTACTCTGCCCATCTCTCTTATACTTCTGCCTCAAACAGGATCTTATTGTCTTTGCTTTTAATAATCCTACCCCATTTATTCCCTTTTTTCTGGTTCATTTGTTTAATCTTTCTGTTCATTTCCCTATAATTATGCCTTCTGTCCTCATCTTCAGTCTCCTTGTATTTCCTTTCTAGATCATATTTCTTGGCCTGTCTGCATTCCCTTTGAATGTCTTTGTTTATTTTTATGTAAACCTCACTTTGTTTTCTCATATTTCTTCGTCTATCCATTTGCTTTATAATTTCAATTTTCATCCACTTATCGCCAGCCTCGTTCCTCCTATGTCCTACAAGTTTTCCCTAGTCTCTAACATGACTTCTCTTGTAATTATTAAATTATTGTCATATGAGATTAGCGTGTTTAATCATCACATGTTCAGGGATTCCTCGAAAGCTTTAACTTTATCTCTTCATCTCCTCTACCTCCGCCCCTTCACCTGGAGCATGTAGTGCGGACAATAAGCAACTATGGGGTTAACAGCCACACACGAGTCAAGAAAACTGAAATATGTTGTGTTTTAAACGTGCATTGTGAATCTCTCACAATACACACACACACACACACACAAACATCGGTACGGTGCACACGGGTATAGTACACATACTCAGGCACATGTATACCTTACACATACACACAGGGGATCGTACGCATATGGGTATCGTTTGTACGCACGCTCACAGTTCTCTCACGCACGTGCAAAGTGCAACAGTATAGCCTAACATGAAACCACACATTGGTACGGTGCACACGGGTACCGTGAACATACTCAAGCATGTGGGTACCGTTTGCACACATGCTCACACGCACACGCAAACATAGTGCAACAGTGAAGCCAAACATGACTCACACATACACACACACACACACACTTAACAACCGTCTTCAATATCTTCACTTCACACAAGGCGACTGACTGTCTTCAACAAATCACTTTCTCCTTCATAAACAACTGCTAACTGCTCACCATTGCTGTTCATAATAAAGCAGTTTTGTCTTGACGATGAATGGGGACGAAATTTTCATAAATTTTCTCAGAAAATCGTGAAATAGCAACTGGGCGTATATATTATTGAGTTGCCAATTCTTTGCCTCGTTCCCTTCATATTATGCTATAATTCTTTTAATATACTATTAAACCAATACTTTAGTGTTTTATCGGTGAAGGAAACTGTACTGGCTGATATGATGATGTATGTTTTGGTAAGAGTTTCTTGATGTAAACAATGCGTTTCAAATTGCTTGTTGTGGCCACGTGTGGTAAGTGCTCGTCTCCCGCCACACTGTCGCCAGCACCACAACCTGCCGCTGTGGTCAGGCATTCACACCACTCACTTATTTCTTCAGCGAAATATCACCCAACATCAAACATATTTATAATCTGTCGTATCTACACTAATATAGATTATGATCTTTCACAAACAGAGTTCTCGCACTTTGCAATGGATGATCGGAATGACAGAAATGGTTTTCTCACAGTGAGCACGTTCACTCCCCATGAAGGGGCGTACAATAACTGCAGAGGCGAGGAGATTGTTTGTTGAAATTCGGCGCTGCCAGACACGCACCACTGTGTGTCATCGATGGTAATGAATAATAAATATTCTATAATAAAAACGAACTCATACAGAAATGGTAATATATTAAGGTGCTACTATGGCGTGCGGTCTACAAAGATACCGTTTGTTTAACCTAACCTAACCTGTAGTAGCACTTATATTGAATTATATTATATTAAATTATATTATATTATATTACATTATATTCCACTACAGTACTTGAACTGCTACTATGCCCACTAATATATAGCTACTACTATGTAAACGGTATAATAATAATAATAATAATAATAATAATAATAATAATAATAATAATAATAATAATAATAATAATAATAATAATAATAATAATAATAATAATAATAATAATAATAATAATAATAATAATAATAATAATAATAATAATAATAATAATAATAATAATAATAATAATAATAATAATAATAATAATAATAATAATAATAATAATAATAATAATAATAATAATAATAATAATAATAATAATAATAATAATAATAATAATAATAATAATAATAATAATAATAATAATAATAATAATAATAATAATAATAATAATAATAATAAGGATCTTATTAAAAATTTGGACTGTTAAATTCTGTTAAAATATTTGTCACTAACTAGTACAGTTTTTTGTGCTAACTCTATGAATGCAACTCATTTTTGGGGGAAATAAATATTTAACATTTTACTGGCGTTTGTTTGCAGGAACGTTGTCTGTTTTTGCTGTTGAATGAAAATGAGTCTTAACCTACAATCATTGTTTTCGTTAAGCGAAACTGATGCCTTGTACAAAATGCAAGGTGTGGAGATTGTGCCCAAAGAGAAGCAATGCCGAAAACGCCATGATATGTAAATAAAATGTATTCAATTCAATTTCAATTGTTTATTCCTTGATAGAGGAAGCGGGATCCTAGTGCTGTCACTAGGTACCCCCGTACAATGACACCAGAAGCATCTGGCAAGTGTGACAAGTATATACAGTATAAATATTATAAAGGGGCTTTCTAAAGCCTAAGGAAGGAAGGATATTCCTTTAACCCATAATCAATGTTATTTACATAATATCTGGCCAGTATGGGGAGGATCATCGTGTCTCCGTCAGGGGGTCGGGGAGTGGTGGTCCAGCAGGCGTCACGGAAGCGTTGTGTGTGGGGACATCTTAGGAGGTAGTGGATAAGGGTGCTGCTGTCGGGTCTTCTGCATAATGCACAAGAGCGTTGCTCAGGGGATGCGGGGATACCAATCTCCCAAGCAAAGTCATACCCAATGATGATACGGGCAGCAATCTCGTCCCTTTTCGGCGACCCTTTCCCATAGACGTACGAGAGGTCAGGAAGTATACGGAGGACATCGTACCAGGTGGGCGGGGAGTTCAGGGGGATGGCTGCTTCCCGAGCTTCTCTCTGTTTGCGGCGAATTTGGGTCCTAAGCTGTAAAAGTGTTCGAGGAACAACGTAGTCAGGTGTGGCCTTGTTGCAGCCAGTCTTAAAATGTATTGACGGAAGATTTAATTGGCGCTGTCAGAAAGGAAGTTGTAATGAAAAGGTCTCCACCGGAAAAAGCCCATGGCTAACCTAACCTCCTAACCTAACCTAACCTAACCTAACCGAGCTTATGTTAAGCAAGATTGGTCAGCACTTCTGATTTATACACCTGTAAGTTACACAAAAAGAATCCGCTAAACATGAGTTTCACATTTAAAATCAACACGAAAACTGTATCTTTTTAATGCAAGTTTAAAGAAATTGGAACAGTTCAAATTTTTAATAAGACCCAAGTAAATAAAGCAGCTGAATTATATAACCATTGTTAGTCATTTGGTTAGATTTAATACATTCGACAACTACTGTATCTATCTATCTCTCTCTCTCTCTCTCTCTCTCTCTCTCTCTCTCTCTCTCTCTCTCTCTATATATATATATATATATATATATATATATATATATATATATATATATATATATATATATATATATATACAGTATATGACTGACCGACCGACCGCTTGTTGTGGGTGCCGGCCGGGCCGGGCCACACGCAGCAGCTACACCAACATTGCAGTAAATTGTGAACAGCAAATCATAAGACAAGGTCGCTTCGTCGGCCACTGGAGATGACGGCAGGTGGGCGGATCTTTGACCGAAATATGCCAACTCAATTGGTTGATTTTAAATTCCGCCGACTAAATATTATGTTCCTGGTTCAATCACAACAACCCAATCTTATGAGTTCATATTAGCCACTGGATAGTTCTTATTTTTGCCAGTAGACAATCAGATGGTTCATACTGTTACCACTAGATGGTACTCAAATGTACTTGTATAATGTCTATTGATTACTTGACTAATAAATGTACTTTTAAGATTTATTAACACGTGATGGAAATATAAATTCACTACATCTCATGTTACAATTAGTAGTGCCAAGTATGAGGCAAAATAAGTCACTGGGGCTATTAGCATTATATACTAGTTTCTTTTGGAATATATAACCCTGTTGTTCGAAACGTAATCAATATTCTACAAATTATTTTAACTACACCAGATAATGACCCAGATTATTACCGTGATTATTATCCAGATTATTACCGTGATAATTATCCAGATTATTACCGTGATAATTATCCTGATTATTACCGTGATAATTATCCTGATTATTACCGTGATAATTATCCAGATTATTACCGTGATAATTATCCAGATTATTACCGTGATAATTATCCAGATTATTACCGTGATAATTATCCAAATTATTACCGTGATAATTATCCTGATTATTCCCATGATAACTATCCTGATTATTACCGCGATAATTATCCAGATTATTACCGTAATAATTATCCAGATTATTACCGTGATAATTATCCTGATTATTCCCATGATAATTATCCAGATTATTACCGTGATAATTATCCAGATTATTCCCGTGATAATTATCCATATTATTACTGTGATAAGAATGACTCGTTCTTTTAAAACCCGGATTATGTACAAATGATAATAATACAAAAGAAATCAATATAGCTGATGTAACTTTTATTATCAACATTAACAACCTGGAGCTGAGGGTCTTATATCCCCTTAATTCCCTCAAAGGTATGATAATGGCTCCTTATCGAACACGAATGGTGAGGGCATTCAGTGACTAAAATTTGCTGCCTGTAAAATTAAGGGACACTAATGACTTTGTATAATTAAGGGTCATTATTATGATACTTATGACCTAACAGATAAAGATACAAGTTAATTAGTTTCTTAGTGTAATTATAAGGGTTTATTAGTCTACCTTCTTCAGCTGTGATATATAAGGGTGATAAAATATAATTAAATTACTAACATTTGCATTATATAGCGAGTGAAAAAGACTTGTTGGTGATATGAGAGAGAGAGAGATGGACTACACCTCAGACGCAGTACAGTTTTAACCCAAAGACTCTATAATAATTAGGATGATTAGTGTAGTGTAGTGTAGTGTAGTGTAGTGTAGTGAACACCATATAGATAAAAGGTGTAAAATTCTATGGCTGTCTGTCGTGGTCACAGACAGATAGACGAACAGACAGAGCCATATTGAGAGAGAGAGAGAGAGAGGGGGGGGTACTACAGCATATGCAGTATGTAGCTGGAGAGGCGAGTCACCATACACTCTTTGAGACGGTCTGGGTGATTATCAGGTAACTTCAGGTAGTCTCTGCGAGCCTTCATGTACAGGGCGATACTTGCCCCCACAACCACGACTGTAAACACACGTAAATATGTAAACGTTCATCAGCTGAGAACAAACGTTGGAATTTAACACACGTAAATATATAAAACATTCAACTGACAATAAACATACTGTAAACATTTAACACACGTTAACATTCATCATCTGATAATAAACATAAAGATATAGCCAGGTATAATTACTATCATTCATATAGTCAGCATATAAACAAAATCCTTCACAAGCTAAGAATGAAAACTTTACCTCAGTCGTTTCAACTGAACATCTGGTAAGACTTCACGATATTGTTATTGTTCTAAATATTGGCAGGTTGGAGAAGGGGGGAGGGTTAACCTGCTTGTCTATAGAGAATTGTGGTTTTATTATGAGTCTATCTGGCTTTACAATGATGAGAGAGAGAGAGACAGACAGATCAGGTACAGAACATGAAAACCATACCTCCTCCACCTAGCATACTACCCCCAACCACTCTAAACCTGGTCGTGTACTGGCCAGGTTCGTTTCCCTTGGTGGAGACTGCTATAAACGCCACCGACATCATCATCAGAGTGACGCCCATGATCCCGAGGCCCACGATGATACCACCGCCGATTGTCTTGCCGTTCTTAAGCTTGAAGAGTAAATGATGAAAATTAGTCAACTGGTGAATGGTGGTGGTGAAAGTGGTGATGAAAGTGGTGATGGTGGTGGTGGTAGTGGTGATGGTGGTGGTGGTAGTGGTGCTGGTGGTGGTAATGGTGGTGGTGGTAGTGGTGATGGTGGTGGTGGTGGTAGTGGTGATGGTGGTGGTGGTGATGGTGGTGGTGGTAGTGGTGCTGGTGGTGATAATGGTGGTGGTGGTAAAGTGGTGATGGATGGTGGTGGTGGTAGTGGTGATGGTGGTGGTGAAAGTGGTGATGGATGGTGGTGATGGTGGTGGTGAAAGTGGTGATGGATGGTGGTGATGGTGGTGGTGGTAGTGGTGCTGGTGGTGGTAATGGTGGTGGTGGTAGTGGCGCTGGTGGTGGTAATGGTGGTGGTGAAAGTGGGGATGGTGGTGAGTGATGGTGGTGGTGAAAGTGGGGATGGTGGTGGTAATGGTGGTGGTGAAAGTGGTGATGGATGGTGGTGATGGTGGTGGTGAAAGTGGTGCTGGTGGTGGTAATGGTGGTGATGGTAGTGGTTATTACAGATCTAGGTCAGGTTGGGAGAATGCTGATCCGTAATAAAATTACTTTAATACACTTATTATTGCAAAGTGCTCTTGGCATCCTGTGTACCGTCGGTAACGCCGTGGGCTCGTAACACTCGTCTTGCCTGCGGTGCCCACCGTTTCTCTGTGGCTGTCGGTCACACTAGAATAACCCGTTACAGTACATCTTTTCCTCACACAGCCAAACTGTGGAATGCTCTGCCTTCTTCTGTGTTTCCATACTGATACAATCTGTCTCACTTCAAAAAGCTGGTTTCCTGGCATCTTCGTGGTGTAGATTAATAGGTATTTTCTTTTCTATTTTTAATTTCTTTTTACTCTTATTTTTTGGCCCCCCAGACCCCGTTGTGGGTCGATGACCTGTGCCTGGGTGGGCTCTTCCCCGTAAAAAAAAGGCAGGCTTCAATAGGAACTCTCCGTAATCCGGAGTCATCTCGACTAATGATTCATGACAATGGTGATGATGGTGATGGTGATGGTGGTGATGGTGATGGTGGTGATGGTGATGATGGTGATGGTGATGGTGGTGATGGTGATGGTGGTGATGGTGATGGTGGTGATGGACATCATGATAAAAGTAATATTATGGATGGCATTGTTGATTCATAATAATAATTATGTATATGTATTAATAATAATAATTAACAATTATTAATTATATGAATAATAATAGTAATAATAATAATAATCATCATAATAATAATAATAATAATTAATAATAATGATAATAATAAATCTACATGAATAAAAGACAGACAGACGAACCAGACGAACAGAAAGATAGATATATACTCGTACAGATATAGACACAGACATAGAAACAGACAAAGAGAAAGACAAAAAGAGACGAACAGAGAGACAGGTAGACAGATAGATAGACGTATAGACTGATAGACATAGACATAGACAAAACTATATATAGACAAAGAGACAGACAGAAAGATAGACATCCATATAGACCGACATACAAATATAAAGAGAAACAAACAGACAGACGAACAGACAGACAGACAGACAAATGTATAATCATACCTTAATGCCCCGCTGCAGGTAAGGGTTACGCCTGTCTTTCACCCACATCATGCCAGGAGCTGATGCAGTATAGTCAGGCAATTTGTTCACTTTCTCTTTCCTTCAAATACTTCTGCGGTACTTTGACCACCATTGTTTTTGTATCCTTCTCATCCACAGTAGATATATCATCTTCCATTTCTTGGTAGCCCACTTGATCATCCTTCCACTTGGCCACTTGCTCTGTCCACTTCCACTTGGCTACTTGCTCTGTCCACTTCCACTTGGCCACTTGCTCTGTCCACTTCCACTTGGCCACTTGCTCTGTCCACTTCCACTTGGCTACTTGCTCTGTCCACTTCCACTTGGCTACTTGCTCTGTCCACTTCCACTTGGCCACTTGCTCTGTCCACTTCCATTTGGCCACTTGCTCTGTCCACTTCCACTTGGCTACTTGCTCTGTCCACTTCCACATGTCCGTTATCCTCCACTTGTCCACTTAATCCATTCCCTTCCACTTTGTCATTGGTATATCCACTGGACTCCCTCTTATCCAAGTACCCAACCTCATCCACACATCCATCCTTATTTAAACATCCAATTGCATCCATAAATTCACTATCATCCATACATCTACTCGTAGACACGTAATTAAGCTTATCCACACGTGGGTTGGCTGTTGCTGAAGTAGACGCCGACATTCTGCAACAAAGACAAAGACTTGCATCACCTGTAATTAACACCCAGCACAGGTGAGTGACATATTCAGGTATTAATAACACGTACAGGCACAGCTAATACACGTGCGCTGTCTATCTATCTATCTGTCTATCTATCTATCTATCTATCTATCTATCTATCTATCTATCTATCTATCTATCTATCTATCTATCTATCTACAGTAACTATCGTCTGCTCACACAAAAAAATAAAAGGAGATTAAACTGAAATAACCCAATATAAACACACACACACACACACACTACATCCTTGACCACCGAAGGGTCAAGATGTACCTGGCGCTCATCTCGGAGCAGCCAGGTCAACTGTTAAGTTGGACCATACCAACTCCCTCCCCTGAACCCTCCTCCCCACCGGAATATCAACAAGTTCTCGCCAGAAGTTACTATTTCATTTAGGAAAGGAATGGAACCAGTGTTAAACAGAGGTGAACAGTGGTGAACAGTGCTTAAGTCAGTGAGAACAACTCAACAGTAACAGTCGCACCCAAGTTAACCTTCACACAGTGAGGTCCCAGGTACCCAGTGATAATGGCCCGTGAGACCCAACAACCAGCGATGTGTTAATCCGTCTACGATAGGAAGGCCTGGGACCAAACCTCACTCATATAACACCGTCTGTGAGGGAATTACTACACCACGTGAGGCCCCGCATAACACCATCTGTGAGGGAATTACTACACCACGTGAGGCCCCTCATAACACCATCTGTGAGGGAGGGAACTACTACACCACGTGAGGCCCCGCATAACACCATCTGTGAGGGAATTACTACACCACGTGAGGCCCCTCATAACACCATCTGTGAGGGAATTACTAAACCACGTGAGGCCCCTCATAACACCATCTGTGAGGGAATTACTACACCACGTGAGGCCCCGCATAACACCATCTGTGAGGGAATTACTACACCACGTGAGGCCCCGCATAACACCATCTGTGAGGGAATTACTACACCACGTGAGGCCCCTCATAACACCATCTGTGAGGGAACTACTACACCACGTGAGGTCCCTCCTAACACCATCTGGGAGGGCGTTACTACACTACGTGTTTGCTGTTCAACACCTACAATAATCTGTATGTTCACTGTATGTTCCTTTACCTTTCTCTAATGAAGACTTTTGTTAAACCACCAATGTATGTAATAAGTCATTTATGTCCAATGTATATTTTCAGCCTTCGGGCTGCAGAACTTTTTCAATAAACCGTTAATTATTATTATTATTATCATTATTACACACACACACACACACACACACGCACACACACACATCTTCAACTTGTTTACAAAATCAAGCTGTTGACTATTGTATTCTTGACTGGTGGTTCTCTTGCGCATGTTCGTTCGTTCGTATCCTCTACATGACTCACGCTGCTCTTAACAGAATGTGAAATCATTTTCAATATTACGACACAGAACTATTTTAGGAGACGAGGAAATATACCTGGCTATATTTAGTTACTATAAAACACACACACACACACACACACACACAAACACACACACACACACACACACACACATACTACTACTACTTTGCTGTCATTCGGAATCGAGCATGACGATCATCCAGCTGTGAGACAATATGGGATCAGCAGAGCCATCCAGAGATGTTGCACATGTGGAGACATCTAATGCGGGAGGGGCGGCGGCAGCGTCTTTCCTGTGCTGGCGTTTTTTCGCCTTGGTTTGAAGTCGGGCTAACTTGAAGTAACCTAAATCCTAACTTAACGTAACGTAACGTAATGTAACGTAATGTAACGTAACGTAATCGTAACGTAACATAACAACATAAGATAAAATAACCTAACCTAACCTAACCTATTTTTCACTTTAACTGAGGGGCTTTTGTCCTACTTTACACCTTAACTAAAGGGGTTTTGTCCAGAGGGCTTTTGTCCGAGGGGGATTTTGTCCGGACCCCGCCGAGGATACCCCATCAGGCACTCGGATTTAGGTTATTTGTTGCTGGGCTAATAAACAACCCTATAACACACACACACACACACACACACACACACACACACACACACACACACACACACGCGCGCGATATTTTCAGATAGGCCTTTGGGCAACCCCCTGCATCCTGTGCAAAGTGAAGCGCAAAAGCGTTTACAGTGCCCATCAGGGAAGCACGCGGAGTTCATGCTTGCCTTCTTTACTTATGTATTAAGGACTCAAGTGTTTGAAGGAATCACACACACACACACACACACACACACACACACACACACACACACACACGAGTTACTTCAGCATGTGGCCTGCATTACCTCGCACAGTATAGCTGTATATTTAGGGCAGGTAACCAGCCCGTTCCATCAGCTGCAAACTATAATAATTTGTATGTTCACTTCATGTTCCTTCTTCTTTCAGTAATGAAAGCTTTTGTTAAACGGCCCACCTACCCCATGTCTTTGTATGTAATAAGTCATTTTTGTCCAATGTATATTTTCAGCCTTCGGGCTGCTGAACTTTTTCAATATACCGTAAATTATTATTAGGTTAGGTAGGTTAGGTTTGGTTTGGTTAGGTAAGGTTTTGTGACTTTTTCCTGTCTTTTTTTTCCTGGATTCGTTAAGGTTGGTTAGGTTAGGTTAAGGTAGCTTAGGTTTGGTTAGGTTAGGTTTAGTTCCGGAAATCAGGGAGTTTACATTTATTTAGGCGAATTACATTTAGCTTTGTACTATATTTTTGTTTATTCTAACTTTAACCTCCAACATTAACCTCCAACTTTAACCTCCAAAATTATCCTCTAACATTAACCTCCAACATTAACCTCCAACATTAACCTCCAACATTAACTTCCAACTTTAACTTCCAACTTTAACCTTCGTGTAATGTCAAAATTCACGGGTGACGCCAAAATTTGAAAGAGACGAAGAAATGGCTGGAAAATGGTGTAATTGCATTCCAGTGGACCGGAGCATTTTAACGCTGGTATTCCTTCGCCGTTTATTTGGTGTTATATCCTAGCAAAGCTTTCGCTCTAAACCTTGAAATACTGTAATTACTGTAATAGTTTGATCAGATATACTGTAATTACTGTAATGGTTTGATCAGGTATACTGTAGTTACTGTAATTACTGTAATGGTTTGATCGGTTATGAATCAGTTACTGTAATGGTTTGATCAGGTATACTGTAGTTACTGTAATTACTGTCATGGTTTGATCGGTTATGAATCAATTACTGTAATGGTTTGATCGGTTATGAATCAATTACTGCAATGGTTTGATCGGTTATGAATCAATTACTGTAATGGTTTGATCGGTTATGAATCAATTACTGTAATGGTTTGATCCACGGTTGGCCTATTTAAATCAATGTTTTAAACCAAATAAAAACGTTTTGTTTGGTTTTAATCTATACCCTCTCTCTTGGTGGTAATAAGTTTTATATGGTTTTTATTACTTACAGCTGATCTTAATGATTTAGAGTATAACTGGAAAAAGTTTAATGTAGGGTGAATAGTAAAGTAGTGTGGGAGGTAGAATAACTGTATAGGGTTGGAGGAAGGTTATTAAAGGCATTTATGAGAACAACTGGGCAACAGTAAGAGGAAATGGGAAGGAAAGTGAAACATTTGAAATAAATGTGGATGTTAGACTAGGATGTATAATGTCCATGTGGTTTTTCAATATAATAATAATAATAATAATAATAATAATAATAATAATAATAATAATAATAATAATAATAATAATAATAATAATAATAATAATAATAATAATAATAATAATAATAAGAAGAAGAAGAAGAAGAAGAAGAAGAAGAAGAAGAAGAAGAAGAAGAAGAAGAAGACGAAGAAGAAGAAGAAGAAGAAGAAGAATTAACGGTTTATTGAGAAAGTTCAGGAGCCCGAAGGCTGAGAATATACAGTTGACAGAAATGACTTATTACATGTGGGGGATTGTTAAACAAAAAATAAAAATAAATTAAGTAGAGAAAGGTAAAGGAACATACACTGAACACAAAAATTAGTGTATATAGTGGAGGTCACATAGGCCATGTGCACTGAGGTGTTAAAAAACAGCAGACACACAGTGTATTAACTCCCTCACAGATGGTGTTATGAGGGACCTCACGTCCATGATGTGAAACAAAAGTGAATAAATCAATTAGGCCTATATCAAGCTGTAGACCGTTACTGACCGCGTGTCTGTTCACATCATCCGTAACGTATCGGAAACGGTTCAGCACGGAAACGTTTCATCACGTCAAAATATTCTCCTGGAGATACCGAGACGTGACGGAACCGATACGTGACGGTGACGTGCCGGTCAGGTGTGAACAGCTCCATTTGATTATATGGAAGAAATTTTGACTGACCGTTGCCGAACCGTGATGTTACCGATACGTGATGTTACCGATACGTGATGGATAGTGTGAATCGGCCTTTAACACATCGCCACTTGTTGTTGGTCTCATGGGCCGTTATCACTGGGTACCTGGGACCTCACTGTGTGGAGGTTAACTTGGGTACAACTATCAGCTGTTACTGTTACTCTTTAACCTTTTTTCACTGGCTTAAGCACTGTTCATTACTATCCAACACCGGTTCCACTCCTTTCCGAAATTAAATTGAAACTTCTTGCGATAACTTGCTGATATTTCTGTTGGGAGGAGAGGTTGATGGGAGGTAGTTGGGGTATGGGCCAACATTACCCGTCATGTTAATTTTTGACACCATACATCACTTTAAACCTTGGAACCTGTACATTAAGAAAATATATGGTCTCATTTTTTCTGATGGGATTTAAGGATGAGATTTAAGGTCGTATATGTCCAGGGAAGTAAGTGAAGAAAAAATCGCTCTAGAGGCATGACGCACTGAGTGTCTAAGGTGATAACAGATCAAATACTACCGCTTGGGTTTTCAAATTAAGTTCATTATATAAAATATCAAAATCATAAATAACCCAATCAGTTACTATAAGTGTGCAGAATAATATATACATAAAGTGTGCATACATGGTAGATCCTGTGTTATGAACGGCCTTTTAGTAAGACAAAAGTAAGGGTATGGGTCTCCTCGAGCCAGCTCCAAAAAGTGAAGAGTCTACTGACGTTTAAAGAATCACAGATCAACAAAAGGAACCATGTCATAAGACTCTCATCATCGATGGCATGGCATTAGTTCACGAACTATCAACTTTGTATGTAACAAAATGTGCAGAGTTTGCAGACCACTTCATCAAAGCATTATCAGCTAGGGGAAAAAGTTATGATATTTTGCATCTTGTCTTTGATCGTTATGACGTAGGCCACTCGCTAAAACAAAGAAAAAGAAACCAACGCTACGACAAGGAAGCAAATGCATACAGTTATGAAATCACAAATTCAATACAGATTAAAGTCTGACTCAAGAAGTTACTCAGCAACAAAACTAAATCATCATTGACCACCTATCTAGGAAACAAAGCATTGCTTCTCTTCCACTCAAGCAAAACCTCATTTGTGCCATCAACAATGAACAGTATTCAGTCAAATGGTGAAAATATTGAACAGTTGAAAAGAAACCATGAGGAAGCAGATGCTCTGCTCATCATTCATGCCATGCACGCATCACTTAAAGGCAGTACTGTATACATTATAGCATGCACCGAGATGTGTAACTGTCAAGCAGATGATGAGAAATGGCTAAACAAGGTGACAGAATCTGTGTTTTACACAGAAGAGTCTGACGACGAGAACTGAAGCGATGTAGTAAATAATAGCGTGTGACTTGTATACTAGACTGTAATACTATAAACTAATAATAAATATTAAATGGATGTTGTAAGTTTTTCAGATAATGGTAATATGTAAATGTTTAAATTCTTTTATTTGTCTTCAGCGACCATATTGACTAACTACATTCTCTTCTATGTCAGAGACAGGATGACATATGATATATGAGCAGCTAAGTTTGTAACACACTTAAGATATTATAAAAGCATTCATAATATATTATGTTAACTTGTGATCACATAATACCACAGTTTCATGTTATTAGTCATGTTTTAAGTTACTTAGGACTTAATAGTAATACGTTTGTGGTTGATTACGTCGCTCTTTGATAAAACGTCTCTGATGGCACCAAATTTATAATAAGCCGTTCAGAAAAAAAAATTACACCATAGTTTTTCTTAGCCTAGACGTTATAAGGACTAACATGAAATTTGTATGAGATTATAGAAGCTCCTAACACGGAACTTAAAACTGTCGTTCACTGCCACACACACACACTTGTTCTCTACAACCTTCTCTGCTGCATTCACTACAACGTTCTCCACAGCCTTCTTTACAACGTTCTCTTCAGCGTTCACTACAACGTTTCCTACAACGTTCTCTTCAGCGTTCACTACAACGTTCTCTACAACGTTCTCTTCAGCGTTCTCTACAACGTTCTCTACAACGTTCTCAACAACGTTCTCTTCAGCGTTCTCTACAACGTTCTCTTCAGCGTTCTCTACAACGTTCTCTGCAACGTTCTCTACAACGTTCTCTTCAGCGTTCTTTACAACGTTCTCTACAATGTTCTCTATAACGTTCTCTTCAGCGTTCTCTACAACGTTCTCTACAACGTTCTCTTCAGCGCTCTCTACAACGTTCTCTACAACGTTCTCTACAACGTTCTCTTCAGTGTTCTCTACAACGTTCTCTACAGCGTTCTCTACAACGTTCTCAACAACGTTCTCTTCAGCGTTCTCTACAACGTTCTCATCAGCGTTCTCTACAACTTTCTCTATAACGTTCGCTACAGCGTTCTCTACAACGTTCTTGGGTACTTACGTGCTTTTTTCGTTGCTGTTGTTATTACAGTTTTAATGGTTGGAATTATTGTTTTTGATGTACTGTAGACGCTGGTGCTGTAGTTGTTATTGTTGTAGTAGTTGTTATTGTTGTTGTTGTTGTTGCTATCGCTGGTATTGTAGTTGTTTTTGATGTAGTGGTAGTAGTAGTTGTTATTGTTGTTGTTGTTGTTGTAGCTGCTATACCTCTCTCGTATCACCAGGTGGAGGTAGAGTCTTCGTGCTTCTCCTGGCCAAGTCATTTAGTCACTGAACACAATAACACAAGCATTAGAGATGTCACACACACGCACACACACACACACACACACACACACACACACACACACACACACACACACATACATTGGTGCCACCTCAGTTGACAAATCTCACCCTCGGAGCAAATTTATCTACAAACACATCACAAAGTAAAATAAAATTATAACACATAGAAAAGTGACATTAATTGATAGTAAAGAATTTGTGTTCCTATTTATAGAAAATTAAAACTTGAAGCTGAATATTTTTTCACGCAGTTGCCATCTAGATGTCCACTACTTTGGTTGATAATATTAATGACTTTAAATTTTTCCCTTTTTATCATTATTATTATTACTGTATTATTATTATTATTATTATTATTATTATTATTATTATTATTATTATTATTATTATTATTATTATTATTATTATTATTATTATTATTATTATTATTATTATTATTATTATTATTTTTATTATTATTATTATTATTAATTTATATCTTAAATTTATCAAGTAGAAACAAAATTCACCGCCAATGATATAACTGACGAATATAATTATCTCGAAATTATTATTATTTTTTAAGTAGAAAAGGTTAGGATTATGTGCTGGCCTTGTTCGGTAATAAAGGGGAGTGGTGGGGAGGAGAGTGGGGGAAGGGGAGTGGGGGGAGGGGAGTAGGGGGAGCGAGAAGGAGAAAGATGGAGGATTGGTGACTTAGGGTGAGAACTGAGTGAGGGAGGGAGAAGGGAGGGAATGGCCTTGAATGAATGCTGTGCAGTATAAGCCACACGTTGTTGCAGCGTGTGTTTCAGTTAGTGTTTTTCTCTCATTTCCCGGGACTGTGGCGCCTCGTGTCTGATATATTATCGACAGATATACTCAACAGATGTAAAGGCTCGTTCAGAGTGCTGTAGAGAAGTGGTGATGAGAGAGAAAGAGAGAAGAAATATCTATTAATATGTCGGTGTGACGAGGTTCCTCCATTTGATGTTGGTGAATGCGTGTGGCTGGCGGCAGTAGTGTTACCACATATTGTATTTTTGCTGCTACTAAATATCATGAGAATACAGCACTATAAAGTACCCTCATTAATGTAAGAAAACTCAAGTGTATATACAGAGAACCAGATCCTGTTAGTGTTGGAAGAAAAGTGTTTGTTTACCTACACTGTCACGCGTTATACAGTAAAGACGGGGAGAGTCTTGAAACTTCACCATAATATTTCGTTCGTGTGTCAACTGAATAAAACAAACGACCATCAACAATGAACAACAGCCGTAAGTATGATGGTATTTGTTTGTCTTGTTGTTAAGAGTACAGAGAGACTAAACCAGTGCTGTGGAAACTCTTGGCTGTGGCATCATCGTGGGCACCCCAGTAGAATACCAAGATATTAGACACAGGACGATATACTCTAAGAAATTTTATAATGTTACGCACAGGTGTATGTTATGCCGGGTTATATAAGTGTATAGTACAGTATGTTGACAGACGGACTGCCAGAAGTACAGCAGGTTGATGTAGTGTGCTGTAGTGATCACGTGAAGACTAGACACCTTAACTTAGCTAACCTAAATATTATCCAGATTATCTTAAAACTTAACCTGCCTTAACCCAACTTAGATTACCTTACCATTATCCAAACTAACCTAACCTAACCTAACCTGACCCCCAAGATAGCGTTAGGGTGGTTAATTTTTAGGTGAAAGAAGATGAGGAATAATCTTTAGATAATTCAGACATAGGTCATTTGTACAATGACTAGCGAAGTATCTAGGGAACAGTAAGGTGAGTGTGTGTGTGTAATAATAATAATAATAATAATAATAATAATGATAAACGGTTTATTAATAGAGTTGCAGCCGGTGGCTGAAAATATACAGACTTACATTTGATTTAGACACAATGATATAATATGCACTGAATACATTTACAGGGCTGTACAGTACATAAATCAGGAGTTGTTTATTATTTTAACAATAGATGGGATGGTGCTGTTCTTATATCTATCGGTGCGGGCTCTTATGGACTGAATTTTGTTGTAGTGGCGGACTGCGCGAGTTGGGTGGGGGGCTGCAGGTGGCAGGAGGTGGCGATGAAGAGGGTGGTGCAGTAGTCCACTGCCAAACCTTTCCAGTGCTTGGTGGTGGAGGTCACTGAGGGATGGCATTTCCAGGGTGGAGAGAGCGTTGGTGTAGCCGGAGTATTCTGCTCCAAAGCATGATTCTGCAGGCCCTTTTCTGTACCTTCTCTAGCTGACGTTGTTGGGTGGAGTTGAGAGAAGACGACCAGGCTGGTGACGCATACGTTAGTTTGGAGAGAATAAAGGCGTTGTAGATGGTCCTCAGCTCTGGTGTGGGTGTCCCAAGTGACCTAAGTCGTCGTAGCATGTAGAGACGATACGAGGCTGCCTTGACTGTGTTATTTACATGGGCCTTCCGGTCAGGATTGTTGTCTATGGTTACACCCAGGAGTTTGGCAGACTGCACCAGCTGGAGAGGATGGGCACCCACTGTGACTGCTGGGGCTTGCACTGGAGTGGTGGCGGTATTGATGTGCATGACTACGGTTTTGGTGTACTTGATGGTGACCTTGTTTTCCGTGGTCCATGCCTGTAGCTTGTCCAGGGTGCCTTGTAGCGATGAGTAGTCTGGTGTGGTGTTGTCCACTGAAAACCCCACAGTGCAGTCATCCACGTACTTCCACCTGTGAGGAGTGTCCGATAGAGCGTCGTTGATCAGGATGAGGAAGCACAGTGGTCCCATCTTGCCTGGGGAACACCGCAGGTGAGGTGTTGGAATATGGAGACCAAGCCCTGATACCTCACTGCCTGGCGACGTCCACTCAAGAAATCAGTGAGCCATGAGACCAGGTTGGTGGGCAGCCCTAGTGCAATAGCCTTGTTGATAACAGTGCAGTGATCAACAAGGTCAAAGGCCTTCCTGAAGTCCACAAGGGCAACGGCCAGTGATGTCTTACGTTTCTGCAGGTTTTTTTTTGTGTGTGTGTGTGTGTGCAATAATGATAATAATAATAATAATAATAATAATAATAATAATAATAATAATAATAATAATAATAATAATAATTAACGGTTTATTAAAAAAGTTCTGCAGCCCGAAGGCTGAGTATATACATTGGACACAAATGACTTATGACATACATTGGTGGTTTAACAAAAGCCTTCATTAGAGAAAGGTAAAGGAACATACAGTGAACATACAGATTCATGTAGGTGTTGAACAGCAATCACGTAGTGTAGTAACTCCCTCCCAGATGGTGTTAGGAGGGACCTCACGTGGTGTAGTAATTCCCTCACAGATGATGATATGAGGGACCTCACGTGGTGTAGTAATTCCCTCACAGATGGTGTTAGGAGGGACCTCACGTGGTGTAGTAATTCCCTCACAGATGGTGTTATATGAGTGAGGTGTGGTCCCAGGCCTTCCTATCTTAGACGGATTAACACATCGCTGGTTGTTGTTGGGTCTCACGGGCCGTTATTACTGGGTACCTGGGACCTCACTGTGTGAAGGTTAACTTGGGTACGACTGTTACTGTTGAGTTTTTCTCACTGACTTAAGCACTGTTCACCACTGTTCACCTCTGTTTAACACCGGTTCCGTTCCTTTCCTAAATGAAATTGTAACTTCTGGCGAGAACTTGTTGATATTCCGGTGGGGAGGAGGGTTCAGGGGAGGGAGTTGGTATGGGCCAACTTAACAGTTGACCTGGCTGCTCCCAGAGGAGCGCCAGGTACGTCTTGACCCTTCGGTGGTCAAGGATGTTGTGATGTGTGTGGTTGGGGGGTGTAGGTGTGTGTGTGAATGTGTCTGTGTGTGGGTGTGGGGGGGTAGGTGTGTGTGGGTGAATGTGTGTCTGTGTGTGGGTGTGTGGGTGTGACTCTGTGTGTGTGTGTGTGTGTGTGTGTGTGTGTGTGTGTGTGTGTGTGCGTTGGTGAGTGTGTGTCTGTATGTGGGTGTCTGTTCACCTTTTTCCTCCACTTTCCCTCCCTCTTCCCTTTACCACCCTTCCTCCATCCTCCCACCACCACCACCCTACCTCCATCATCCCTCCACCACCTCCATCATCCCTCCACCACCACTCTCCATCCTCCTTTTCACTTCCCTCCAGCCCTCGTTGGAGACATTGTAATCACTGGGTCACCCGATGAAGTAGTTTCCCAGGAGTTCAAGGCTGGGTTGGTGAAGGGGGTCCTCGGCTGGCGTTTTCTCTCAAGCGGATGAGAAGGAGGAATTAGAGGGAAAACAGACGAGCGTAATAGTGGTTGGGTTAATGTTAGTTTTTGGTTGTGCTGTATTACTCTTCACACACACAAACACACACACACACACACACTGTTACGACCGTGTCGTATTTTTCTATTTTTTTATTTAACATGCTTCCATGTTGTTCCATATTATTCCTGTAATTAAGTGTTATACTTACTATTATATAATCTAGTCACCTTACCCTGTGCTGTTAAGGTTTTAACTGTTATTATTTGTTCAAGCCCATCTTATTTCTTCATTTAGTATTGTAACAAGCATTCTTTCTCTCTAACGACCATCTGCATCGTTAAACGACCCACCGGCGGGTTTTGGGCGGGAATTGGTCCACCAACTGCCAGTGTTTAGTCCAGTCCACCTTGTCATTCAGTTCACGTTCTTTTGAGTGACACTTGTCACCTGTTACTTTATTTCATTTCATTTCTGTGATTGTTCCTGTCGCCACCAATGTGGTATATCTATGTGAGTACCTATTTATGTCTCTTATGTGTCCATCAGTGCTTGCTTAGTTACATTTAAGTAATTCAGTGTTGTTCCACTGTAGTTAATTTCAGTGTTAGTTTTATATGTTTATGCAGTGTTAACGCAATCCAATGCTTTATTTTTATTCTTTTGATGTTTCGATGTTTAGTATCATTTGTGTCTTAAAGGTTTCCGATAGTGAATCAATTTGTTTGACAGCCTACGAGGCTCTTTATTGTATTAATATTTAATTTAATTAAATTCTTAAAGGTTTACTTTATTTATTTATTTTTTATTCCCTTTTAATTTACTTCACTTTTTTTGTTTGGTTACGCCTAGAACCTGGATATTAAAGTAAATTAAGAGACGGCGTAAGCACACACATACACACACACACACACACACACACACACACACACACACACACACACACACACACGGTCAGAATTTTGTGTAGAAATATCTAACATAAATAATAAATGAAATAATAACAACAATAAACTTAGGAAGAAGTCAAAGCCATTTTAACTATTTAAGTAATTAGACCCCCAAAAAGGTCAGAAGCCAAATAATATATATATTTTCTTTTCAGGACCGCAACAACCGACAACTCAGACCATTTCCATACAACAGCCGCCGTTACCTGACCCAATAGTATATCGCTTCCCGTTCTTAGTGAGGGGAACATACGTGAGTGTTTTATTTCCCAGTGATGCTTTCTTTATTATTATTATTATTATTGTTATTATTATTACTATTATTATTATTGTTATTGTTGTTATTATTGTTATTGGTGTTGTTGTTGTTATTTTTATTATTATTCCGGTGGTGTTCTGCCAATAAACAGAGAGACATTACAATAACTGAAGGAAAAACATCCCCTGCAAGTGAAGAGGAAGGCATCAGGTTCCAGGGAGCCTATATACCTCCATACACTGTCTGTCGTGTACGAGAAAATAAGAGGGATGGTGTGGAAAAAAGCACTGAGACACAGGGAGGAGCTGGCCCTTCATGCCTGGATGCAGACGGTTGGAGAGTTATCCTCAGCACAAACAAGTTTGGTGCCGCAGCAAGTGATCTCTGTAATGCCACCGCCGCCCTCGCAAGAAAGCTAGCAACCTCGTACTGCCATCACCTCTATGCTCTGAAAGCCTGCCGCCTCATTCCCCTGGACAAAATCCAGAGTGTAGGCCTATAGGGGCGGGGGAAGTGCTGAGACGGATCATTGGAAAATGCATAATGGAGGTGGTAAATGATGATGTCAGGGCAGCAGCATGTGCTGGCCACCAAGCTGGGGTGAAGATGCCATTCACCCCATGAGAAATTTGAGCTGTGATTGTGAGGCAGTACTCCTGGTTGACGTTCACAATTCATTCAATATAATCAATCGCAAGGCTACACCCCACAACATTAAGATAAAGTGTCCAAGCTTTGCAGTGTATGTTAAAAACACTTACAGGAACCCGACAGACTTGTCTATAACAAACTTCAAGGCCCCAAGAGGAGATGCCACCATAGAGTCAACGCACTCGGCCTATCCGTGCTCCAACACACAATAAAATTTGAAACATCCGCTGTCAAGCAATTGGCATATGCTGATGACCTTACAGGAGCAGGAAAAGTGGAGGACATCAAAAAGTGGTGGGACCTGGTAACATCACGTGGCCCACAAATAGGGTACCACCCAAATGCCAGAAAATCCTTCCTCATTGTGAAGCCAGAATACCTATGACCGGGCTATAAAGGTGTTCAACGGAAATGAGATCAAAATAACAAAGGACAGTCAAACACACCTAGGTGCGGTAATCGGCATGAATGATTTCAAGACCAAGTATGTAACGGCAAAGGTAAATGAGTGGGAGAAGGAAATCCAAACTCTGTCTGATATTGCTAAAACTGAGCCACATGCGGCGTTTGCGGCATTCACCCATGGAGTCAAGCATCGCTGGAACTATCTTATGCGCACTATCCCATATATCGGACCCCTTCTCTACCCTCAGGAAGAAGCCATCAGAATCGCTTTTATTTCAACACTAGTTAAAAGCTTTCACTTAGCCCTAGCAGAACGGTTTATCCTTGCATTACCATCGAGACTGGGAGGAATGGGAATTACTAACCCAGAGGAGCTTGCTGCCACTGAAGTCCAAAACTCTGTCGAGCTCACGGCAGCCCTCACTGAGCACATAGTTGCTCAAAATGTAGCAAGTGAGGTGGATACCAGCGAATTAAACAAGATTCGACGGTCCATTACGACAGAACGGCAGCATACCCAAAATGAAATACTTCAACAAGTGATGCAGCAATTGTCGGCGAATTTAAGAAAAAAAGTAGCTATACCACAGGAGGTGGGCGCCTCGAACTGGCTAACAACATTACCGATAAGAGCAAAGGGATTCAGCCTTAACAAACAAGAATTTACAGACGCCATTGCTCAAAGGTACGGTAGGCTAGTAGAAGGTTTGCCCTCCCAATGCGTGTGTGGCGCATCCTATGACATCGACCACGCCATGGTGTGTAAGAAGGGGACTTCGTATGCATGAGGCACTGAGGCATGACGAAGTAAGGGATCTCACAGCAAATATTTCTGAAGGAAATCTGCCACGACGTCACGGTGGAACCGATCCTTCTTCCATTGGACGGTGTGAATCTCCATCACAGGACTTCAAACACATCCAATAAAGCCCGTGTGGACGTCAGTGCTCGAGGATTCTGGACGCCGGAACAGCATGCCTTCTTTGATATCAGCATATTCGACCCAATGGCCGCCTGTTGCCGTGACCTGTCTCTCGAGGCTACACAGAAGAGGAACGAGAACGACAAGAACAGTGTGTATTCTCGGAGAATTCAGAACGTTGATCAAGGCAGCTTCACTCCTCTGGTGTTTACAACCTCTGGTGGGATGGGATAAAGTGCAAGATGTTTCTATGCCAGACTCGCGGAGGTGCTATCTGAACGGAAGCAGCAGCCCAGAAGCTACATTACAGCCTGGTTGAGCTGTTGACTGTCCTTCTCTCTGCTTAGGCCTGCATTGCTTTGCCTCAGGGGAACGAGATCTTCGGCTCCAAAGCCGACAACGGAGTCACTGAATGCTGCATAGATCTGAAGCTTACCTAACTTAGCTAGGGTAGCTAATTTTGTATTTGGATATTTAATATTAAAGTAATAAAATGGTGGCGAAGGTGTGGCTATTGGGGGAAGCTGGAGGCCAAGTTAAAAAAGTAGTAATAGTAGTATCAACGCTGTTATTATTACGTGTTTAAGACTGACTAACATGTATGGTTGTGTTTCAGTGTTGTGGTTGTAGATGTACAGCTCTGTCCATACTCTTCATCTACCTGTGCGGGGTAATGAACCTCGTCATAGTAACTATACTCGGTGTTGATTCCGCGTCTGCTTTTTTCCTGCCGATGGGAGGTAAGTTTTGGGGAGAGGGAGGGAGAGATGATAGGGAAGTTGGGTTGAGGAGAGGGAGGGAGGGAGGGATGGATGGAGGGGAAACTGGGTTGAGGAGAGGGAGGGAGGGAAGGATGGATGGAGGGGAAACTGGGTTGAGGAGAGGGAGAGAGGGATGGGAGGGAAGCTTGGTTAGGGAGAGGGAGGGAGGGAGGGAGGAAGCTGAGTTGAGGAAAGAGAAGTAGGGAGGGAGAGAGGGAGGGTAGGAAGAAGGCTGGGCTAAAGAGAGAGGGAGGTACGGAGGGAGAGAGGGACGGAGGAGGTGGCTGGGTTGAAGATTTTTTAGTTTAACAGTTTTATTGGCAAACTTGAGGTATAATTTGCCTATTATTAGTAGTTCAGTGTGAAGGGAGACCAATAGATAGGAATTCCTCTTCTGTGGGTTGGTTTCACTTCTACGATAGATCCTTTTCAATACATCCTTTCTAAGTTATACCTTTTACAGTATATAATTTCTAAGATATTTTGCATACAGGGGTACCTAGTGACAGCACTAGGATCCCGCTTCCTCTATCAAGGAATAAACAATTGAAATTTAATTGATATTTTGCAATTCATCATTTCTAAGATAGACATTCTACAATATATTATTTCTAAGATAGACCATTTACAATGCAACCCACTTCAAAATAAACATTTCACATAATATTTCTGACATGGATATAATACAATTTATAATTTTTAAGATATACATTTTAAAATAAGTTCTTTCTAGGATAGACCTTTACAGTATATCCTTTCTAAGATAAACGTTGCACAATGCATCCCTCCAGAGGAAAGACTTTTTCACCTCTTCTCTACTCCTCTCTGCACAGGATTAATGGCCATATTAGGGTATAGCCTGACAGCCAAGGCCCGTAAGGAATATAACGCCCTCCCCCCTGATCACCCTGACCGCCTCATGTACTCAAGAAGACCAGGACCTGCCGCTGGGCCAACACCCATCAGCTACCATATGGTGCCGGGGTCCCAGAGCCAAGCCTTAACTCCGGGTGGAGGAGGAGCAGTGATGGGAGACTCGCTACAGGTAGGTACTGGGGATCCACAGATGGGATCACCTGCTAGTTTTCGAATGTCTACCTATCCATCACCACACGGAGGACAACCTGCTACTTATCCACCACCACACGGAGGACAACCTGCCACCTATCCATCGCCACATGGAGGACAACCTGCCACCTATCCACCACCGTACGAAGGGCAACCTGCCACCTATCCACCACCGTATGGAGAACAACCTGCTACCTATCCATCGCCACATGGAGGACAACCTGCCACCTATCCACCATCGTACGGAGGACAACCTGCCACCTCTCCACCACCGTACGGAGGACAACCTACTATCTATACATCACCTTACGGGGGACAACCCGCTACGTGTCCTCCACCATATGCAGGAATTGAAGGGCGGCCAGGGAACTACACAGCCTCAGCGCCGGGTCTGGAGGTGCAGGACGATGAGCCTCCCCCGCCCTACTCCGATGTTGTTAAACAGTTTATATAGTGTTCTTTGATGACGTGTTTAAGTGAAGTGAGTCAGATAGTTCCGCGAGGGACAGTGTGGTATGCGACGCTTCTAAACCTTGGATACACAGCGTGCAGTACTGCTCTGCTTTCGCCTCCTTAGTTTGTATATTTATTTTCTCATTACAGCTGGGTGGATAGGGAGTATATGTACACATTATAACGCACACACAAACACACCGGCTGCAACTCTATTAGTGAACCGTTTATTATTATTATTATTATTATTATTATTATTACACACACACACACACACACACACACACACACACACATATATATATATATATATATATATATATATATATATATATATATATATATATATATATATATATATATATATATATATATATATATATATATATATATATATATATATAATAGCTGCGGAAACCAGCATTGCCAGGGTTTGTTTTTAATGAGAGCTATCATCTAGAGTAGATGAGCTTCTCTACATTACAACAATTATAATTGTATCTCTTGGGTGGGGGTGGGCCACTTTAGGGTCACAACCACTACACTACGGTGGGGGTGGGCCATAATAGGGCCACTACACTACGATGGGGGTGGGCCATAATAGGGCCACTACACTATGGTGGGGGTGGGCAATAATAGGGCCACCCCCACTACACTACGGTGGGGGTGGGCCATAATAGGGCCACCCCCACTACACTACGGTGGGGGTGGGCCATAATAGGGCCACCCCCACTACACTACGGTGGAGGTGGGCCATAATAGGGCCACCCCCACTACACTACGGTGGGGGTGGGCCATAATAGGGCCACCACCACTACACTACGGTGGGGTTGGGCCACAATAGGGCCACCCCCACTACACTACGGTGGGGGTGAGCCATAATAGGGCCACCACCAGTACACTATGGTGGGGGTGGGCCATAATAGGGCCACCACCAATACACTATGGTGGGGTGGGCCATAATAGGGCCACCACCAATACACTATGGTGGGGTGGGCCATAATAGGGCCACCCCCAGTACACTAAGTGGAATTCGTCCTAGTAGGAGCCAATCCCTGAGCCCCACCGCCGGGAGTTGTTGCCACACTGTTGATGATCTTTAACACTGTAGTAGCCGGGAGTTGTTGCCACACTGTTGATGATCTTTAACACTGTAGTAGCCGGGAGTTGTTGCCACACTGTTGATGATCTTTAACACTGTAGTAGCCGGGAGTTGTTGCCACACTGTTGATGATCTTTAACACTGTAGTAGCCGGGAGTTGTTGCCACACTGTTGATGATCTTTAACACTGTAGTAGCCGGGAGTTGTTGCCACACTGTTGATGATCTTTAACACTGTAGTAGCCGGGAGTTGTTGCCACACTGTTGATGATCTTTAACACTGTAGTAGCCGGGAGTTGTTGCCACACTGTTGATGATCTTTAACACTGTAGTAGCCGGGAGTTGTTGCCACACTGTTGATGATCTTTAACACTGTAGTAGCCGGGAGTTGTTGCCACACTGTTGATGATCTTTAACACTGTAGTAGCCGGAGATCTCCAACAGACAAACAAAATCACAAACAAAATAATAAATAATCACGCCTTGTGTTCTCAATAACTCTAAAACCTGTACGAAGATTTATATTTCTGTAACTCAGTTTACTGTACTTTATTCATCCTAAAATGTTACAGTGTAGGAACACATCACCTGGAAGCTTCTGTGTTTAACTTGCACATCTCACACAATAGCATCATTTTAAGTTAGCAAGTTATATGTCATGCTGCCAGACTGATGGTAGAGTCTGACTTCTTGTTGCCGTGAAGAAGTCATGAGTCACAGTTGAGTGTTTGTAGAGTACCACTACAGTAATTGTTTACTGTCACCACTCAGGTCAAGTCTCTTATTGTGCAATATATTTTTATTGTAATTCTACAGAATGAAAAATTAATTTTTATGTATGTTTTGTGAAATTTTGCATAATGTAAAGTATCTTTTTGTTTCCTCTCCAGTTTGGACTTAATTTTTCCTACTGTGTAGGGAAAAAAATATCAACCTCTTCATTTTATTTTTCCTCAGGAAATAATTTCCTGGAGAAATTATATGAAACTTTTATTTGATCATTATTTTGTAATTAAATCTTTGTCTTATATTATATTACAGATATACATATACACATGTACTGTATATGCTTCATGTAGTGTTGCTCTTCAAAAGTAAAAGCTCCCAGTAACTTAACCCAGTACAGTATTGTTTATCTGCTTCTTAGCGGTAAATAAACTAACATATTCCATTGATATTTTCTTAACACAAGTAAATTAAGATTATTTTATTAAATATATACTACACGTTCTTTAAAATACTGGGGTGACATTATACCACTTCACTGACACTTATCGGGTCCAAGTGCATTTACAGACCAAATTTATGCTGTTGCCGGAAATCGCGAACAGAAACACACACACACACACACACACACACACACACACACTCCCCTTTATATACAACTTACTAATTCATTATATCCTAAAATCTCTAAATATTGCCTCAAACACTTGTTCTCAATTGTGTGTTCAGATTAATTGCAAAATACATAATCATAATATTAATTAAATAAATACCTGGAGGCTTTTTACCTGTAATGTTTCCTTTCTCTAGTTTAAATAGATTCACTTGGGGCCAAACACACCAACACTATCATGATATTTAGAATTTCACGTTTGCTGTGGCGCTCTTCATTAATTACATACCTGTTAATTGTTTCAGGTAATCAGGGTAATCTTTTCTTGCTGTTGTCAGATGTTTGTTTATTTGTTGGTCGGTTTGTCTGTTTGTTTGATTGTTTGATAATTTGTTATATGTTTGTTGGTTGTTTTTTTTTGTATGTGTTGTGTTTGTTTGCTTATGTGTTTGCTTGTTAGTTTGTGTCTTTGTTTTCATGGAATAACAAAAAATGGAAATTAATATTATGTAAATGAAACAGCTTTATATTTGCATTTTTTTATTTATATTGGGATGATTATGTAATAATAATAATAATAATAACAATAATAATAATAATAATAATAATAATAATAATAATAATAATAATAATAATAATAATAACAATAATAATAATAAAAATAATAATAATAATAACAATAATAATAATAACTAATGGTTTATTGAAAGAGCATGGGAACCGTTAGGCTGATAATATACAGTTACATAATTGGGGAATGGATCACTTGATTGACAAATAATATACAAGTAACATAAGTGATACAAATATGATATATAATAACTCGGTAGGGAGAAGGTCATACTACAGGGCATTTCAACATAGTGACAGTGTAAAAAGGTTAGCTTGGCTCGGAGTGAATGCACTGGTTGATTACGAGTTGTTGATAATTTTTTCAATGGTTGGGACTGGGCTGTTCTTATAGCGATCAGTTCGTGCTCGTATGGGCTGGATGCGGTTGTGGTGTCGAACAGCAATTCGCAGACGAATTGATCTCGGGCGGAAGTAGGAGCCGGTGTCGAGGGTGGTGCCGAAACTTCTCGCCAAATTTGCAGATGAGGTCGTGGTGATGATCAGAGAGAGCCGAAAGGGTTAGTGTGTTGAGCGCTTCTTGATATGTGGAGTAGGAAGGGGAGAGAATAATCTTGCATGCCCTCTTTTGCACTTTTTCGAGGTGTTTAGTTTGTGTGGCATTTAGGGAGGAAGACCAGGCAGGGTAGGCATAGGTGAGCTTGGGAAGTATGAATGTTGAGTAAACACTAAGAGGTCAGGAGCAGGAACTCCGAGGGACTTGAGTCGGCGGAGGAGGTGGAGACAAAAACTGGAAGATTTGACAACTGTACTGACGTGTGTTTTCCAATTTAGTTTGTTGTCAATGGTGACACCGAGGAGCTTAGTGGGGTCCACAACCTGGAGTGTGTTGGGGCGCAAAGTATTGGAATGGGGTGGGACAAGGGCGGACGAGAGGTTGATGTGCATAACCATGGTTTTAGTATGGTTGATGGTAACGTGGTTGTTGGTGGCCCAATTTTGGAGACTGTTAAAATAATCCTGGAAGGCGGTGTAGTTGGGAGCCGAGTTTTTGACACCGATCCCAATGGTGGAGTCGTCGACATATTTCCAGCGAGCAGAGGTTTCTCTTAGGGCATCATTGATAAGCATAAGGAAGAAGAGCGGTCCCATCTTGGTGCCTTGGGGGACGCCACATGTGAGTGACTGAAAAGTGGAGACAGCCCCTTGGAAGCGTCCGGCTTGTTGTCAGAGGTATAACTCATTATTAACGTGTATAACTAAATAAATCGTTTGTTTCTTATATATAATTAGCCTGAGGAGCGTGTGTGGTCATCAGATGGCTCACCGGGTTGAGACCTCTTGACTAGTTCTTGTCAACTACTTTAATTCTGGTAAATTAGTTTATATAAATAAATTAATAATAGCTTACTATTGTATTATAACTATTATTTATTAGAAATAACTGCGTTGTCCGATGAGACTTTCAACTAATAAGTTAATTAATGAGATACTTGTCCAACTGTGATTTTTTTAGATTTGCGCCCATCTGGGAAGCAAGCGGAGTTCATGCTTGCCTTCGTGACTCATGCATTAAGGGCGTAGGTGCTTGAGGAGAATTCCCGATACAATACATCGCTTTATGACAAGGCGTGGCAAGTCCCTAATAAGTCAAGTGCCAGGCCTGTCTGGAGGAGGAGGGCTATTGGTCAGGAGGAAGGGGTCAGTAGTCCGCTGACCCTGTATCCGGTACACCGGCAGAGCTGTTTACACAACCACCCAGATCACACGTCTGCCAACGAGAACCAACTTTGTGTTTTTTTTTTGTTCTTTTTTACGTTTAGCAAAGTTGGATCAACGTAGTAACTGTCAAAACTAGCTGAAGTCTTCAGAGAACGTCATCAAGGACTCATAAGCCCATCGTACGAGAAAGCTAAGTATCTGATAGTTGGAGGAGAAAGGGGGTTTGGTAGGAGAGGGGGGAAGGAGGAGGTAAGCCTCCATTTCCAAGTAATTTTATTAAATTATGTTGTTTTTTTATTGTGTCGTGCACTTTGACAAGGGAAAAGGTGGAAGGGGAAATATTGACATACGACGTTTTGGAGAATACGTCTACGTCTTCCTCCATTGGCACTAATCCCCATCTCCCTGCCAGCGTGTCTTAGTGTTTATGTTTGGGTCTGGCCGTCACCACCTCAACAAGAAAGCTTTCACCTCTGTCCTGGATTTTGGGCTTCACTTAAAGTTTATTTCTTCGGTTACGACTACCTCTCTCTCTCTCTCTCTCTCTCTTTATTTAAACAGTTGATTACATGGGATCACTGACAAGGTTCTAGCCTAGTCGCATACATAGTTAAAGTCAGTGGATGAATTAAAACCACTAAAATATAATGATCTAGACGTAGTAAATAATATTGTAGACAAATTACTTAGTAATACACAAAAAACTGTAAACCTCAATTGACGTGCTGTGGACAAACGCCGTCAGCATTTCTTAAATGCATTTTAATGTAACTGTTCACACGACCCGTCATGCTGACGGCGGCAGGCGGCCGACAGCCGACCGACACGTCTCGGATTTCTTCTCGAGAAATCCTGGCCGGTTTGACGGCGGCTTGGCGCCAGCCTGACGGGTTGGAGACGGCTCGTGTGAACGAGGACCCATACGAATTTAGTTCAGTGTTTGGCATCATGGACGAAAGGCTGATAGAAGTTGTGCGAGGGTATGAAGAGTTATTTGACATGACTAACAAGAAGTACAGTGATAATCTGCATAAAGATAAGATATGGAAAGTGATTGGCGAGGCAATAAACAAACCAGGTGAGTTTGAAATAAGTTTATTACACTTGAAATGTTTTGTCTTGCCTTATTACATCATATATATATCGCTCCCAAGGACTACTGAAAAATGCTTTGAATTTTTCCCTTACATTAAATGCAGTCTGATGAGCATTTCCGCCTTGTCTCGGTATATTTATCAGGATATTTTGAGAGTGTGTTGACATATTGCCTTTAAGATCAGAAATGTTTTCTTCCCTAATAAAATTATGTAAAAGGCAAATAGCATAAACAATGACATCTGCATTTTCAGGATTTAAATTCAGTGTTCTTTGGTAAATCAAAAACTTCTGGCTCAGAATGCCAAAGGCATTTTCAACTACCCTCCTAGCATGTGAAAGTCTGTAATTATAAACTCTTTTCTGATCATCATCAATCTGTGTATCTGGGTATGGTCTCATTAAGTAGGGTTTCAGAGGGAAAGCTTCGTCCCCTACAAGCACATGTGGTGCTGCGCAAGATGTTCCCGGTAGCAGGTTTTCTGGAGGTACATTCAGAGTGTTCTTTTCTAATACCTCGCCGAACCTTGAGTGTGCAAAGATTCCACCATCACTGTTTTTTCCATTAGCTCCTATATCAACTACCACAAACCTGTACTTTGCATCCACCACACCAAGCAATACAGTTGAAAATGTTTGTTTGTAGTTAAAAAATAGTGAGCCACTATTTGGTGGGGCACGGATTTTTACGTGCTTACCATCTATGGCACCTACACAGTTTGGAAAATTCGAGTTCCCAAAATTCAGCTGCAATTTTTCTCCAGGCTTCCTCAGTTGGCGTTGGCATAACTTCCTCTCTCAGTCTCATGATGATGTCTTTGCACACCTCCTTGACAATGCTATGGACTGTTGAATGTCCTAAACGATAACTGAAGGCGATAGTTCTAAAATTGTCTCCCGTAGCAAGATATCTGAAAAGAAAAATTTTCCATTTATCTATCTCTCTATCTATCTATCAATCTTTCTATCTATCTATCCATCTATCTATCTATCTATCTATCTATCTATCTATCTATCTATCTATCTATCTAGCTATCTACACATACATACACACACTGCAATGATACCGTATGCTTTCTCATTCTAGGACATGAATGCAAGCTACGATGGGGTAATCTTCGAGACCAGTACCGTAGGTATTTAAGAAAAATAAATACCAAGAGTGGCCAGGAAGCGGTAAATGTAACAAAATGGAGATATGCAGATGAAATGTCATTCATTAAACCTTTCCTTCGTGATAGAGAAACGATGACTAGTCTTGAAGAAGAAACGGTGAATACTGTAGTCACAGAAGAGACGGAGAGTGGGATTCCATGCTCAAAAAATAAGAGAGGTAGAGAAGCAGGACAGACACTGAGTGATGAGGAAGCTTCATCAATACAATCAGAGGCTGCCACAAGGAGAAGGAGTCGACCTCCAGCTAAGAAATTTGTCCACATACCTGAGACACCTTCGTTTGTTTTAATGAAACATCTAATTGAGAGTGAAAGTCAGAAGGGAGGAAACCCTCCCGATGCCGTTGATTTGTTTTTCCAGAGCATTTCAGCTACAGTAAAGAAGTTTTCTCCCTATCATCAAAACATATGTAAAACTAAAGTTCTTGCTCTGGTATCTGAGTTAGAGTTGATAGAACTAGCAGATCAGTCATCACAGTCTAGTGCTACATCATCAGCGTTTGCTTCGGGAACTAACCTTTCACAAACATCATCATTTTCACCAACTCCATCATCATAATCTAACTCGCCTGCAGCAAGCACAGAAGATTTCATTAATTTGTAATGGAATATAAAAGGCACATCACTCGCCTTCTCATTCTCTCACACACTATATACATACGGTATATATTTAATCAAATCTCAGATGATCAGATGGAACAATTCTTTGTTTTGTTAAGTAACAGCAATATGTGTTTCTTTTTTGGGAGATAAGAACAGGAAGTAACAAAATTTTCGAAGTAAATTATAAATTGTTTACTGTAAGGTTTATAATACATAGTTTGTATTTCGAAAAATCTTTTATATAAATAATATTCATGCATTATTTAAAGCACTCATAATAAAAGATTGTGTTTTGTGAAGTAACAGCAATTTATTTTTATTTTTGGAGGTGAGAACGAGAAGTAACAAAATTTAGTTTACTGTAATGTTATACATTTTGTATTTCGGAAAATTTTTATATCAGTAAAATGCATGCAATATGTACAGCATCTTTATTCTTACCTTAAGCAAACTGCTAGTCTTTCTTTTGGGGGTACTGCTTCTCGGCAGTTGGTGTTCATCTTTGCCAGGTCCATTTCGATTTTTTCTAGTAAATAATTAAACTTAGCCTTGGACATTCAGAAGTATTGGTAGAATTTTACTTCATCATCTGCCAGTTCTTTACAGAGGGTCCAGAATTCTCCCTCGCACTTTCTCTTTTTCAGTGACTGATGTACCCATAACCTTTTCCTCTTTCCACGAACTTTTTTTTCCTCCTCTTCCTCTCGTAGAAGAGCAATTGCCGCCAAATTCTTAAGAGACCGACCGGCCATGATAATCACACAACAAAAGTTATGTAAGCACTGATTGACGGTATCAGAAGGACCGGGAACGTGTCGTGTGAATACACAACATTCTGACGGCGCCAAGCCGACGGTCTGACGGTCGGAACAGAAACGGGTCGTGTGAATCGGCCTTACTCTCTGGACTGCTCGCTGGCTATCCTGGCGGGGATAAGAGCACGATAGGGTGCAATCATCAAAACAGATCCCCGAGGGACCAATGCCTCGAATGGAAAGTCTCTGGAGGTCTGACCGTTGATGACAACTCTGAGGGTCCTCCCTCGCAGGTAGTCTGCTAGAAGCAGGAGGTTCCCCTCGATTTCCTTTGCTCGATTCTTCTTCAGGAGGCCCCTGTGCCACACCCGGTAGAAGGCCCCCATTATGTCAAGTGCGATCACGAGGGTGTCCAGACCATTGTCCAGTGCATCCTGCCAGTCTCTGGGGAGCGGCAGCAGACAGGTCTGAGGTGGATCGAAATGATCTGAAACCAAACTGTTGGTTGACAACAGATTGTGGTAGTCAGAGTGGCGACACAATTCCTCCCCGAATAGCTTCTCAAATATCTTGCTGACGACAGATAACAGTGATATGGGGCGGTAGTATCCTGGGTCCGATTTCGACCGCTTTTTATGGACAGGTTCCTCTCTGGCCACGTGTGTCCACCAGGCAACTCTCTCTCTCTTTATCTCTTTTTACCCCTGTCTCCATTTAACCACCCCCTGGCAGGAACTATCACCCCCGGCAGGAACTATCACCCCCGGCAGGAACTATCACCCCCGGCAGGAACTATCACCCCCGGCAGGAACTATCACCCCCGGCAGGAACTATCACCCCCCACCCCTGGCAGGAACTATCACCCTCGGCAGGAACTATCACCCCGGCAGGAACTATCACCCCCTGGCAGGAACTACCACCTCCCCTGGCAAGAACACCCATGGCAGGAACTCCCTGGCAGGTACTATCACCCCAGGCAGGAACATCACCCCCGACAGGAATTGACCACCCCTGGCAGGAACTATCACCCCCTGGCAGGAACTATCACCCCCGGCAGGAACTATCACCCCCTGGCAGGAACTATCACCCCTGGCAGGAACTATCACCCCTGGCAGGAACTATCACCCCTGGCAGGAACTATCACCTCCCCTGGCAAGAACACCCTGGCAGGAACTCCCCTGGCAGAACCCCTGGCAGGAATTATCACCCCCTGGCAGGAACTATCACCACCCCTGGCAGGAACTATCGCCCCTTGCAGGAACTATCACCCCCTGGCAGGAACTCCTTGGGAATCACCCTGGCAGGAACTCCCCTGGCAGGAACCCCTGGCAGGAACTATCACTCACCCCTGGCAGGAACTATCACCACCCCTGGCAGGAACTATCACCACCCCCACTATCACCACCCCTGGCAGGAACTATCACCACCCCTGGCAGGAACTATCACCCCCTGGCAGGAACTATCACCCCCTGGCAGGAACTATCACCCCCTGGCAGGAACTATCACCCCCTGGCAGGAACTATCACCCCCTGGCAGGAACTATCACCGCCCCTGGCAGGAACTCTCGCAGGGAGGCGGGCATGACCCAGTATGAGGCTAACACACAATAAGTTACCCGGAAGAAAGACCTGAGATGAGCGACCAAGCCTTTGTGTCCGGGACCAGCAGATAAGAGGCGCTGTGAGGTATGGCCGGGCAAGATGGTGGATAAAGTCTTGTGAGACTTCATCACCCCGGCTGGAGTGGGTTTAGTTTAATATTATGGCGCCAGCAGCCTGAAGGACGGACCAAGGTGATCGTTGAGTCCAAACCCGGCACTGAACCCACCACCAAACCAGACACCTAACCCGCCACCGAATCCGACACTGAACCCGACACCGAACCCGCCACCGAACCCGACACCTTCACATTATCATCGGCAGACAGACAAGAGGAAAATACACACACACACACACACACACACACACACACCTCTCAGGTAAACTCCGTGCTATTAATAAAACACATTTACCACCTCTTCAGTCGGCAGTTTCATCGATACCAGAGTCACACCGAGAGCCAATCAGCACATTTTACGCTGACCTGACCTTTCTGACTGTGTGATAGACTCTCTTCCCAGGTCACGGTCACCATGTAATAGCTCCTGGTCGGTTTTCAATGCTTCAGGGAGTTGGGATGGGTATTGGTAGTTGTTGGCGGTTCACTTGTTGATGCAACTTTTACTGAACTGCTTCTCGATTTATGAGCTCAGGTGACAACAGTGTGTGTACAGGTGTTGATACAGATACAGGTGATGATGCAGATACAGGTGTTGATGCAGGTACAGATACAGGTGTTGATACAGATACAGGTGTTGATACAAATACAGGTGATTGTAACAGCACCATTTGTATTATATAAATATTTACCCAAATGTATGATACCAAATTATTCACCATGTTATTCAATTATATAGATTTTTACAGATTGCCCCGGAGGGGGCTAGTTTATTAGGCACCCCCTTACATCCTGTGCAAGGTGAGGCGCAGAAGCGTTTACAGTGCCCATCTGGGAAGCATGCGGAGTTCATGCTTGCCTTTATGACTCATGCATTAAGGGCGTAGAAGCCTGAAGGGTCATAGGTTTTGTCAGCAAGTTACATAAAGTGACAGAATGATGAGTGTGTGGGGGGAAAGTTCCCGGTACATTTCATCTGTGTATGGCAAAGCGTGGCAGGTCCCTAATAATGTTAAGTGCCAGGCCTGTGACTAGGAGGAGGGATATCTGGTCAGGGAAGGAAGAGGTGTTGGTAACGGCTGGGGACCTGTAGGAGGAGGTCATAGGACAGGTTAGGATGTGGGAGTCGGGTTGGCCACAAAGTTTACAAACAGTGCGGCCAGGCTCAGGGTTGCCAATGCACCATAGGTACCTGTACCTTAGGTACCTGTACCCTAGGCGCAGTCTCATGTACATAATCTGTTGAGATCGAGTCAGGGATTGATACTCTTTGTAGTGGCGGTTGTCGTTACCGGTTACAGCGTCATAGTGGCGTAGTGTGACGCTACCCCGTTGTTTCAGGTGTGTCCAATTTTCGTCGAATGCTTCTCGTTGTGTGGCGTGTATGAGAGAATTGAGATGATTCAGGGAGAGGGCGAGGGTGGCTTCAATATCTTCTTGTGTCGCTTCTTTGGCAAGTCGATCAACAGTGTCACAGGCAGTTATTCCTGTGTGCGACGGGCTCCAAATAAACTTGACACGGATGTCATCAGTTTGTTCTAGCCCGGCGACGGCGGCGAGGGTGTGTTGGGCGGCAGGGGAGGAGGGGGAGGGTAATTTGAGCTTCGCTAGCGCAGAAGTGCTGTCACTGATTATAAGGAGGTTCCGGCGTTCAGTGCGAGCATAGGTAGCCCCCTCATGAATGCCCGCGAGGATGGCTATGCTTTCAGTGTCAGTGGAGGAGGCCCAGTCGTGGACCCTGATTTTCCTGCGGGCCTGGCGCTCAGGAATCCACACAGCTGCCCCAGCGCTGCCCAGCGTGGCGACAGACCCATCACAGTAGACGAGGATAGGAGGGTGGGAGGTCGTAAGAAAGGAGGCGACATCATTAATCTGCTCAAGGCAGTTAAGTTTGAGCATATACCGCAGTTGGGTGGATTTACGACCAGGGAAGGTGTGGACGACAACATCAACACTCGGGGAAGTCCACGGCGGTAGAGGCGAATGAGATTACAGATTGCCCACGAGGGACTAGTTTATTGGGCACCCCTTACATCCTGTGCAAGGTGAAGCGCAGAAGCGTTTACAGTGCCCAACTGGGAAGCATGCGGAGTTCATGCTTGCCTTTATGACTCATGCATTAAGGGCGTAAAAGGCCTGAAAGGTCATGGGTTTTGTCAGCAAGTTACATAAAGTGACAATGATGAGTGTGTGGGGGGAAAATTCCCGATACAATTGATCTGTTTATGGCAAAGTGTGGCAGGTCCCTAGTGCCAGGCCTGTCACTAGGAGGAGGAGGAGGGAAGAGGTGCCACCCCTGTAGGGGGAGGTCATAGGGCAGATGAGGATGTGGTGAAAGAGGGTGTGAGAGTCTGTTGACCACAAAGTTTACAAACAGTGCGGCCAGGCTCAGGGTTGCCAATGTACTAGGCGTGGCGAAGTACAGTGGGGGTGGAGGTGTTACGGTGTGGTGGGGCAGGTACAGTAGGGGTGGGGGGAGGCTGTAAGGGCGGAAACGATCCTCCGGCTAGTTACCGCTGCTAACTCGCTCGTTTGCTGGTGCAGACGACACTTGGGGTGGTTGGACGGAGGTGAGAACGGCAGCGACTATCACCGCCGCCGGGAGATTCAACCCAGCCGCCGTCCGTCAAAATTCTGGCTGTGATCTCATCATAGGTCCTGGACTCGTGGGCTGTGTTCCCAGACCTTCACCTATCAACTGCCAACTCTCTGGTCATCTACCACTACCGCATACCACGACCATCAGTTCATCACATTCCGTCGGTGCCCCGGTGTTCTCCTGCCTTTTCAAGTCGTCGCTGAGTGTGGAGTCGAAGTGGACGTTTCGTTACCCTGAGTGTGCATCACCGTGTTCCAGAACCTTCCCCCAGGGCCACTGCCGTAGGAAATATTTGTTCATGGTTTGATTCTATTAATTGCTGACTCCCCTGTATTGTTCGATTCTATCAATTGTTGACTCCATTTAATTGTTTGAATCCATTGATTGCTGACTCCCATTATTTGTTTGATTCCTTTAAGTGTTTGCTTCCTTTAATTGTTTGACTCCCGTAATTATTTGATGTTTGTTGAGTGGTGTCAGAGTTTTGTTATATTTTTATAGTAAAGAGATGCCGATCTCTAACGGTTGTTTGTTATTCCTCGGAAAACCATGGTCCTTGACTTTCCTTTATTAAGATCCTGATTAGCCTGGTAAGGGATTTCTATCCCTAAGTCCCAGGCCTTTACAGAGGCACATAGG